CTCTTCTAAAGTAGAAAAATACCATAATATATTTGCAGATATTTAAGAAACATCATGCTAAGTGAACATTTTTGTTTATCTGAAAAACATTGCTCAGTTATTCTGCTTTGAAAATATGAGTTACGTACCGACACCTCTGTCTTTGTTTTGGTCATGTAACCCGCCCAATGCAAGTTTAGGCAATTAAGTTTCAGCACCATATGAAGACATTCATTTACAAAGGCTCTCAAAGCATGCGTCCGTGACTGAAATGCGGATCTGGTGGACAGTAGCTAACTCCGAAATGACATGCAGATTCAAAGTTCCACATGAGGTTATTATTCATTCATTCATTCATTCATTTATTTTTGGCTTAGTCCATCCATACACACTCATTCACACTCATTCACTAAGCACAATTTAGTCTACCCAATTTACCTGTACTGCATGTCTTTAGACTGTAGGGGAAACCGGACCACCTGGAGGAAACCCAAGCAAACGCTGGGAAAACATGCAAACTCCACTCAGAAACTGACCCAGTCAAGGCTCGAACCAGCAAATTTCTTGCTGTGACGTGACAGCACTACTTACTACGCCACCTTGTCACCATGAGGTTATTAATTAGCAAATAATAAAAATAATATGAACGTAAACATTAGGTGAGCAGGTTATATTGTAACCCTGTGTCCTAACAACACGCTACTTGACGAGATTTGCAGTCATGAGTAGTTTGGGTGTTTGTACTAGACAAACACAACAGAAATTTAAATACAGCATTTCAGAAGCACAGAAATCACTCCCGAAGCACTCCCGAAATGTTAAGGTTTTTAGAAGATTTAGAAAACCATTTCTAATAAGTCAATTTAAGAAGTTGGTTCGAACAAAAACATTTAATATGGAATATATTCCTATCGCGCACCGGTGCTTTTATATAGAACACTGGTTCCTGTTGGTCCTCAATCTGGCAACATGCGTTTGTTCTAAGATAGGAATGCAATACCAAGTTCAACCACTGGGTGTCAAACTCACAAACTGCATCTTTAAATGGTTGTATACCTCAGTTCAGAGTATTAATATCAGTGGTACGTATTTTTTACACAGATAAAAAGTTTCACTTTTTCAAATGCACTTTTTTTGTTAGGTTTTTTCACAGTTTAAGTGTAAATTGTAAAACATTTTGGGGTAACCTATCCCATCATTGAAATAATTTCACACAAGTGCACATTCTGTGAACTAATGGTCAATACTGAAGCAGGAGTTAAAGGCAGTTACAGGAGCAGAAAATGTCCAAAAAACTCTTTGCTGTTATTTTAATTTTATTAACCAAACAGATAAATAGGAGACAGTGATCCAGAAACTGATGAGTCTTTTTTTTCTTCTTCTTCATTTTTTTCTTCTTTTGCAAATTTAAAATCTCACATGCATGATGTGATGTGAATCTTTCCTCACACATCTTTAGTAATTCACAACCTCTACTGCTCTTAAAGTATTATTATGGTCAATTCTGGCCCTGGTCAGGCTCTGCTGGGAAAGACTGTGTTCTGGTGACAGGATTAGACTCCATTACATTGTGTATCATCAGATTGACTTATCTGTTATCTCTGGAGACCAAGATTAATTGCACACTGGGCTCAGTAAAGCTTTTGCTGTTTTATGACCACCGATTTCACTAATTACTTGTCATTTAATTGACCCTTTGCTAAGCCTTTGGTAACCGTTGTTGCAGGGTCAGATTAGTGTTCGTCCATTAAGAAAAAAATGGGGATTTTTGAGAAACTTAGCTTAAATGTGTTGCATTTTAAAAGTTGTATTATTTTTATGAAGCTATTTTTAATGGTTTTGTTACTTTTAAAGGCGTAGTTACCCAGAAATGCTAATTTTCATTATTTGCTCATCCTCCACTTGTTCTGAACCTGTTTGAGTTAAATTTTCTGCTGAACAAAGGACAATACTGAGAAATATTGCAAAAATAACAGCTATTGACATCTTTTTGTTCCCATTATGGGTGTCAATGGTGGCTTTTTCCTTCAGAATATCTTGTTTTGTGTTCAGTATAGGAAAACAATTATAAAATGTTTAGAACCATGGAAATGTTATATGTAAATGAATTGTCTTTTTTGGCTGAACTATCTCATTAATAAGTTTATTTAATTGATATATATATTAAATAACATCAGTAAACATCAATTGTTCTCATTCAAAGTATGTGGAGTTTCTACATGCTAATATTAGATGTGCTGTGCATGACTGTCAACCTTGAAAACTGCGACACCAATAAGCCTTGTTAGAAGGTGATGCTGTACTGTATGTGACGTAAGCCAATTGTGCTTCAGTGCGCAGTACATGTTCGAAATGGGAGGGATTTCTAGGTCCCTTAATCCCATGTGTCAGAAATACCGGCTTTATACTCCTGATAGCTTTAAAGAACAGTCCAGAGCTGCGTGAATCAATCTTAAGTTTTCAGTTTTTATTATTTATTGATTTATTTCTAGCTGAACATGTTGTGCTTGTGTCTGTACGTGCCTGTCCATATCTCAGAGCGAACAGAATTTGAGTATTTCGAGTCTGAGAGTTTACCAGTGCAGCTAAAGTCTCTTTTTAAGTTAAGTTTATTTCTTCCATCACAAGAGTTTGATTCGTACAGGAAATGGCGAAAGGTATGTCATCTGACTTGTTTACAATAAGGTTTGATTATTTGATGAATTTACAAACATTGAATAATTATGAACAATGCTTTTATTAATCATTGTTTAACATTTACTAATGCTTGATTAATATTCAAATTCATGCTTGTTAAGATTAGTTAATGCAATGCGAGTTAACATGAACTAACTATGAACAACTTTCATCTAACATTAACAAAGATGAATGAATACTGTAATAAACATCTTTTCACTCTTGATATATTAACTGGCATTAACTAATGCAATCTTATTGTAAAGTGTTATTGAAATATGGTGCAGTGCTCTTTTTGATTTCATGTTATTTTGTTTTGCCTAATCTCAAACAATGTCAATTTAGTGTTAGAAACACACTATTATAGTCGATTTTTTTTTCAATAAATTTTTAGCGTTTTGTAGTTTGTTTTATTAGATATTAACTGTTTTATGGCCTATCATTTCAGTTTCATTTCATTTCAGTATAGAGTTTTTAATCTTTAAATAAGTTCTATATAAATTGTATAACATATAAACAGCTTTTCTCAATTACCAAACTATGTAATATTTTAATTAACAGTAAAAACACTATGGATTTAGTGTTTTATTCCCGGAAAACAACTATTCAAAGATGATTCCTTGGATTTGTAAACAATTTATTTGGGCTGAATTTCAACAGTTGCGCATTACTAAATTTATTTGTGTGTTTAAATTCAACCCATATAGATTGTTAGCGACAATTTTGCAGACATCATTTTTTTTCAGTGTAGAAAATGAGAAAAATTATCCTTCGTGTGGTTTTTAGATATCAATGTGTGTCCTGGTCATTCATGCAAAGACTTGCTTTGTGGGATGAATCAATTAATTTAGATTATTGGACTTCCGTATTTTAGCTGACATAAGAATCCAGAATGTGTGTCATTTTTTATGTTTGTCTAAATGATATTAAACTTTTTAATGTCAGTTAAAATATTTTTTAAACTTTTTAATTTTTTTAAAATTCTGCACAAAATGTCTAAAAGTTGGAAGCAAACAAAAATAATGGACATTTTCTACCACAAAATGTAATCAATTGCGAGCGTTACTGTTCTCTCATTGAATTTCTTTTTTGGATTCATTGTATTAGGAAATCTATCTATTGTAACAGAAATCTGAACTTCAGAAGGTTAATGCCATGAAATTTTGTTTGCATTCTCATGACCCACATGTCTGCAGTTGAGTCATTGCAGCGTGTGGATTAAGTAGTGAAGAAGACAGCTATCTTTAACCTGCTTTATACTGACACGGCTATTTGAGACTTGGCTGGAGGCCTGAGATCTCAAATGATGCAGACAGACACAATAATTCTTGCTGAACTCTGGAGAGAGATCCTAAATGATGTCTGATAGCACCAGTCTGTCACTAATTGAATCAAAATAATTGAAAATAATTGCATTATTATTATATTATTTTGTAGTTATTACTTGCAATTATAAGACATACAAATTTGAAAGTAAATATAATTAATGCAACACATCTACAACAAGTTTTCGAAGTTTTACAGGCAAGCCATTTTGTAATTAAGAGCTCGTCACTGAAAAGGCTTAGTCTTTTCTGCATTTCAGCCTCAAAATAAACATTTTCAATAAGTTATGGTTACAACATCAAAAACTAAGAGGGTTATATATTCAAGCTTAATGTCATGTTTCTATTTTAATATTATAACATTACATATGAACAACAGCAGCCTCTTTTTATGTTTATTAGAAGAAGGCATGGAAGATTTTAGTGAGTGAAAGTCAGGAAAAGTCAGAAATTATGGCTTAAAGTGTGAACCTGTTATTCAAACACAGTTTCACATAAGCTATCATTAAGTCCCCTAAAGTAGCAGAGAGCAGTAAATGATCTGTTACTGTGTTCAGGTTGACAGTGGCTCATTATGAACTGCTGATGTCACTGGGTGGAGTGTTTATTTTTTCTGCGTGTGGTTGAAAATGTTTAGCCGTAGACAGACAGATCACTGTGTCGCTCTAAGAGATAAGTGAGCAACATCAGCAGGGATTCATTCTGTGGGCTTCGTTTACCATTAAAGCTGGAAACGAGTCTTTCCAGAACACTTGGGGTTAATCATTAATCCTCCTTCTCCATCCCTTTCCATTACCTTCAATTATCTGCTGCTGGATGGTTCAGACAGCTCGTGTCCTAAAGGTCAAACGTTGTCAGGATGGACCTCATAAAGCGGATGCTCCTTCAATACTCTCTTAATCAAACAAAAGCCATATGTCTGTCCCGAGTGGCCCATTAGCTCAACACACCGAACAACAACTGACCTCAAAAAATATTTTTGGTTCAGTCTTGATGTTTTTTTTTCACTATGTGTTTTAGAAAGTCGTCAAGGCTGGAGACAAAGACCTGGATGGTCAGTTGGACTTTGAGGAGTTTGTGCACTACCTGAGGGACCACGAAAAGAAACTCAGGCTGGTCTTCAAGAGTCTTGATAAAAAGAACGATGGTAAGAATTTTTTAGTCAACTACACCGGAATTCGAATGTGTGAATCTGTTGCTAACTTTACTGAACTTCAACACTTGACATTTTTACCGCAGACCGGGGTGGAGGTTGTGGTTAGAGTTACCAATAAACCATTTTCTCTGAGGATGACAAGCTGACAAAACATTGTTGTCACGCTGATACAAGTTTTATTTATGGAAAAAAATACAAAGCACTGCTGTGTTTGGGTGTTCTGTGTTTGTCTACTGAAATGTGTATATTCTATACAAATTGAAGCTGATCAGTCTATTCTTGTCACGTGGCTCCCAGTTCGCCTGCAGGATGCATTCAACAAGCCGCGCACCTCCATTGGAACCCATGAACTTGTGCAAACTCTAGAAAAGACGCAATATCCAAACGTCATTTGCGATCTCTATCATTTGATCTTGCACAGACATTGTGGATTCACCTGGTTTGTTGACAAATGGGTTGTGGATTCATTCCTTGGCAGTTCATGGGTCGTTCACTGGGCCTTTTTACCTTTGCAAAGGAACTTTCCGAAGACGTCTGTTTCTTAGGGGCCGATCACACCGAACACGCTTTTATGTTCCAAAAACGCAAGGCGCAGCTCACTGCTTTTTTTGTTGACAAGAAAAAAGAACCGCTGGGTGCAAAAGTGTTGCTGTTTATATTAATATAATTTTAGTATTTAATAATACTGTGATATTCTAGACTTGTGAAGTCATAGAGCTCCTGATAACTCAAAACAACAACCACAAGTCTCTCCTCCATATTCAAAAGTCTTAGTTGTTGTCTTGACAACACAAACATTGCACCTCAACGAAAACCTTACCTCTGCTTTCATTTGGAGAATGAAAAAGACGCGAGTGATGTAACGCACTTCTTTCACTCAGAGCTGACTTTTTTTTCCTCAACTGCGAGCCCATCGCGCACGAGCGAAAACGGGAGGCATAGCAGGCAGTTAAAATATGAGGCGCAAAGGGTGCATAAGCAGCGCACAAAATGTTCGCGGCCGTTAGTAAACCATTTAAAAAAGGTTTAGTGTGAACGACCCCTTACTCATTTTGCTGCTTGTGGGTTAAATTTGGGCACTCAGGTGATCAAGATATAACCTAGAGAATACAGTTATTTTAAAAGATTAAAGATCGTTCAGATTTGGATAATAAATAAAACTAAAAATAATTAATGATTTTTTTGTGCAGCCTCATACCAATTGATCCACGGACCAGTACTGGCTTGCAACTTGGTGGGTCGTTGCTAGATCAGATATAGTTGCGGCCGGAAGTTAACGAAAATTATTTCTAATATTTAATAAATTACCCAATAAATTGTATTTTTTAATGGCTGCCCCAACCCTAAACCCAATCGTCACAGTACTGTAAAATGATTAATTATTGTTATACAGTGTCATAAAAATGTTGCTATATTGATGTCCGTATCGCACTTCTGGCCAGCCGCATATCCGATCTAGACTTTAGCGGCCCAGTCGTTGAGGACCACTGAACTAAACGACAAGCTTGCAGAAAATACCACGTGATATAGTCACAACCAAGCTGCACATTTTCAACACTGGTTTTATCTTGTGGTTTTACACTGGTTTTTACTGGGCTTATGACTTTTGCAGGAATTAATTAACTGTAATAATTAACAGGAACTAATTATGGATATCAATAAAATAACTAAACAATGTGCTTTTTAAAAGTTATGCTACCACATATACCCAGTTTTTCCAAGACAGTGCAAATGCTTTTGGGGGATTATTTAAAGAAAATATTTAATATTTAAACATTAGATGATTTTATTTGTATTTTATTTGTACAGTTTCATTGTTTTTCAAAGTTTGAAAGTGTTTGTGTATATATTCTTTACTTGTTTTGTCACCTTCTTAAGCCACCTTAGAAGTTTTAATTGTTAAATTGATAAAAAAGACAATTGTTTTAACATTTCTCCTTTTAAATCTGCAGGTCACATTGATTCGCAGGAGATCATGCAGTCACTACGAGACCTTGGGGTTCATATATCTGAGGAACAGGCTGAGAAGATTCTCAAGAGGTGTTTATTTTTTTTTTTATTTTTTTTTTTTTTTACTGATTTGTATCATCAGTCCATCTTTCTTTTTAAAAGCTGACTGATCTATGTACAGTAGCATCTAGGTGACGGAAAGAACACAGCATACAGTTAACACAGCATATCTCACAAATTTCTACACTTCATTGTTTTTTGACATTCTTAAGCTTCTTAAATGTCTTCTCCAACAGTACGAAGCAAACTAATTGAGGCACAAACGTTCTATTTCTTTTCTGTCTGTGTGACCGTGTACTGTGTGCGTGTAAAAGTCTTTCGCTTTCTGTATGTGTTTATCACTCTCTCCTTCTTGTGATCCACCTCTACCCTCTCTCTCTGCTCATCTTATCAGAATAAGGAGGGGTCATATTTGTGCCCCTATAATGTAGTAAGTAGAGGTCTTCTCCCTGCACGTTTGCCTTGCTCTGCATTTGCATTTCATCCGCTGTGTGTGTCATCTGTGCTGCTTTGTTTTGGGTTTTTTTTTTCCTCTCTCAGTGGCTGTTTTGTCCCATGTGAGTGTTTTATTTTGTTTTTTTAAAGGAGCTAATGTGGATGTAATTTAGGGTGTTTTACAGGGCATTTCCACAGAGGCACTCTTTCTTAAACTTATTTAAAGAAGATAAATACGTGAAGGTCAAAATGGTGGTGAAGCTCTGAATTCAGAGACTTTTTTTGCATGCAAATATGGAAAAAATTAAGAAACTACTTGAAAATTCTAATCATTTTGAGGATTTACTGAATTTATTAGGTATGTGCTTGAGTAAAAATATTGTTTTATTCTGTATTAAGCCCTGATAATTTTTATTCTTTTGAGAGAAATGACAGTTGTTTGAACTCTTAGTCAAAATATTTTCATTTGTTGTAAATTATCAGGGCCACATATTGCTTCATACACTTACTGGAAGTCAAAATATTCCCTTTGAGTTAAATAAAGACTATGTTTCAGAACATGCTTGACCAGTTATCATTTTAGCCACTAAATGACAACATTTTTATGTTATATTTGAAAGAAATGTCAACAATAGTTTGCAGAACAAAGCACTAATTATATATTACTCAAACTGTGGACTCTTCTTTTTTTTCCCCATTTAATGTGGATGTTATTTTTATTTTATTTTTGCAGCTTGATTGTACATGATGAATTTTGCTAGAATAAAGCTGGTCTCATTTAGATTAGCTGCTGCTATCCAGAGCCACAGTTAGTATATAAACATTATTTAATTTTTTGCTCTCTGCTTGTTGTTTTTATCTGAACAGTATGGATAAAAATGGTACGATGACGATTGACTGGAACGAGTGGAGAGACTATCACCTCCTTCACCCCGCCGAAAACATTCCCGAAATCATCCTCTACTGGAAACACTCTACGGTAAACAAAAACCACACCGTGCTTTACAATTCAAAGTTTCCAGAGCCAGTTTTCTTTCATTGATCCTTTCAGGAAGTCTCTTCATTGTGTTTAATGTGCTTTTCACTGAGAGACAACACACATCCTATTAAAACTGGAGAAGCGCTTCAACCTCAAGTCATTTAGTTCTGCTAAGCCTGCTTAGTTAAATTTGTAGCCTTGCACTTGAAATACTCATGAATGACACAAAAGGGGGTCACCGTGAACCTGATCCTTTTAAACAGATCAACAGTGTCTTGACGTCACTGACTTGACCTTTTTTGACGCTAAATGCTTCCTAATAGATGATTCTAGCACCTGTGCACAGTTATTTCTGGAATTGTTATGTTATTATCATGGCTGCAAAACAAGTTCTTGCAGAACAAATTAGCGAATCTTACTCTTCGGCTTAAAGGGACTGTTCACCCAAAAGTTCTTTGCTGTTAAACACAAAATAAGTTTGTTTGTTTTGTTTTGGTTTTTTTTTTTGAAGAAGAAGAAGAAGAAGAGAAAAGTTGTTAATTGGTAACCACTGACTCCAGTAGTATATGTTTTTCCTACTATGGATATCAACAGTCAGTTACCAATTTCCAACAATATTCAAAATATCTTCTTTTGTCTTTAATAAAACAAAAACTCAAACTGGTTTGGGACAAGTCAACGGGGGGTTATTGACAGAATTTTTTCCATGGGCATTTATGAATGGTGAAGATGCTGCAAAATGTCAAGTCAGCAATGAAAAACATTTAAAAGGTTCTATGGGTCACACTTTAATAATAAAGGTACAGGTTGCTATAAACAAACCCTTTTCTAAGACCTTGAGCTCCACAAACTAATTTTCTGCTTATTAACAGTAAGTAAGGTACTAGTTGGGTTAAAGTATTGGGTAGGAGACTCCACATTTTCAATTTAGTCCAGTAAGGGAATGGTCACTGTAAGAGACTTGTACGTGGATGGTAGGTTTGCTACATTCCCTCAGCTGAAACAAACATTTAATCAGTTACATCATAGTTTTTTAGATATCTACAGCTGAGAAACTATGTTCGTACATCTATCTCCCACTTTGAACTAGAAGCAAATGAGCATGATGTATATAAATTACTTTCTGCCTCTCCTGATACCTCCAATTTGATTTCCCATTTTGTAGATACTTTTACTGATCAGTTTACATTGTATTTGAGTACTACCTTGTATTTGAATGATTCCTGGGAAAAAGATTTAGGCATTCATATTACAAATGAGGACTTGAAAAAATCTATCAAGGTCATAAATACATTTTATATTAACTCAAGACACCAACTAATCCAATAAAATTTTTTGCATCTGCTTCATTGTTCTATTCCACTCTCACTTATACAACTGTGAATCTGAGGAAGGCTCCTTAGGACATCTTTTTGAAATTTTCAGATTCTAAGGGTTATTTTTGTGAGCTCGCTCTCGATCTAGCAATCGCTGTTTTTAATTGGTCTGACTCACTTCGTAGGTTCAGTCATCAAATTCAATAAGCTGTCCAATATGGAATGGTGATAGCTACAAAATTATTCTTTGTCTATGGAAAAAGGCATCAAAACCACTTTTTAGATCCTGGCTTTTAGAATTTTCTAGTACTTTACATTTGAGAGAGACTTAAACAATCTTTCTGATAGCATCGCTGGCTTCAAAGCCACCTGGAAACCCTTTTTTAATTATCCGTCAAATGCCAAGGATAACAGTTTTAGGTATGATCCTGTCATCATCTGCAAGCTCTCTATATTGCCTGTGCCCACTGGCTTAGAAATATGTCTAACATTGTTAATCTATGTATAAAACTGGAGGAACTGATGTAATGGTTTTTAAATCTTTTGTTTTATTTTGTTCACCTATTCTTTTCCGTCTTTATAATTGTTGTTTTGTATTGTTCTGTTTTGCTTTAAGGTCAAAATAAAAATAGAATATTCAATAAAAGAATTATTGTGTAGGAATAGGGATGTAGCGCAAGATCATATTTTATACAGTAAATATTAATAAACAGCCAATATCTTACTAACAGACTGCTAATAAGCCAGTAACTAAAGTGTTTCCTAAATTTGGACCTAGAAAAACACTAATAGTTTTTATCGAAACTGCATTTGTATTAAATTGGTACTTAAACGTTTGATCTTTGTCAAAGGTGATTTTTTTGTATTAATGACATTACATTGTTAAATGTTTAATCTGTATCTGTCATGTAGTGGCCAATAAGGCTGGTAGGGCAATAAATATGAATACTACTGCTATGTTAATATAATAAAAAGGCTCACACTTTACAATAAGCCTTTATTAGTTGATGTTGGCTTGTGTATTTACTAACACTTTACTTGTACAGTGTTTATTAAGCATAGTTTAACATTTAATAAAACATTACTGAAATCCAAAGTTGTACTTTTTAACATTAGTTTATGCACTGTGAGTTAAAAAGGACTAAAAGTGACTGGCTTTATTTAAATTAACATTACATTAACAAAGTTTATAAATATTGTGAATTCATTCATGCCTGTAAATATATTACAATAAGGTTGTACTAGTTAAATGTTAGTTAAGTGCGAACATAAACGAATTATCAAATATTCCACCCTAAAACCAATGAAAGCAATGAAAAGATATCAAATTACAAATGGATAACCTATAACAGGGGTGCTCAACCCTGTTGCTGGAGATTTACCTTCCTACAGAGTTCAGCTCCAAACCTGATCAAACACACCTGAACCAATTAATTAGGACCTGAACAGCACTTGATAAGTACAGGCAGGTGTGTTTGATATGGGTTTCAACTGAAATCTGCAGGAAGGAAGATCTCCTAGAACAGGGTTGGTCACCCCTGACTTATAAAGAAAAAAACTAAATTTAAAAATAGATAGATAGATACAGTAGATAGATAGATAGATAGATAGATAGATAGATAGATAGATAGATTAGATAGATAGATAGATAGATACATTCTTCTTTGTTTATACTTGTTTTGTAAAGTCTAGAGATTTTGCCTGCTTACAGAAGCTCATGTTCTCTTGTACATATAATTTCTCATGTCCTCTTTACAGATATTTGACGTGGGGGAAAGTATGTTGGTACCGGATGAGTTTACGGCAGAGGAGAAGAACACAGGAATGTGGTGGCGACACCTGGTAGCAGGAGGTGGAGCAGGCGCTGTGTCCCGTACCTGTACTGCACCTCTGGACCGCCTCAAAGTTCTCATGCAGGTACCAGACACAATCACACTACCAGTGCAGGACACTGGACACAAGATACGTAGATATGTCCAAATTTGGTATGTATTATTATGTTATTTTGCGGTTTTATGGTTCTTTGCCATATTTAAAAACACACACACTTATACATAAACACTTATATAAACATGTATATACTGTGTGATGTTCCTGGCATACATAATAAAGTTATTTAAAGTGCTTATTTTGAAAGCGTTGTGCAAACATGAAAGTTTTTAGAATGGGAAAACTATTACTTTTTTGATTACCATATTCAGCATAATCAGATTATCATAATCATGTAAACATAGCCTTACATTAACCTTAAGTCTTTGGATACAACATTAAGGTGAATAAATGGTAAGAAAATAATTTTTTTGAGTGATTTTTGAAGTAAAATGATGGTTTTCTCTTTTTAAGGTGTAAAAGTATTCCTCTGATGAAAAAGTTGAATATTCAACATCATACTAGTCTTTATTGATACAATTTCTTGAATATGCTGAATTGATTTTTTTCACCTAAATGTTGAAAACCTTCTTTATTTGAAAGGTCAAACTTATTCAGGTTTTGAGAAAAGAAAAGCATTTATTTAAAATGAATGATTTTGTAACATCCTAAATGTCATTATCGTGGCGTGTACTCATCATAGCTGTTGTTGCCACAGAGACACAAATTATTCATTAGACACTCTAGGCACAAATCCCAGTATGAAATCCCACATCAGTCGAAGTGTAAGTGTTAGTAAGCTGTTATTCACCATTACTGTACAGTCACTGCGGCTCATGATGTTCTGTACTTTGAATTAGTGCCTTGGTGTGGGTGATCATGTAAATTTAGAAAAAAAATTCCAAGTCAAACTAGAACCTGTTTCATTTGTTAGATTTTGAAGATATCAACATATTGATTTGGATAAATTGAATCATAAGACTAAAGCTGTATTCACCTTAACTTCACTCTTTGTAAATGTGTTCAGAAAACTATATTTCTTAGTAAATCGAGATGTTTTACCTCTGGAATGGTGTTGACAGGTTCATGCAACGCGCAGTAACAGCATGGGTATCGCTGGAGGATTCACCCAGATGATTCGCGAGGGTGGACTGCGCTCACTGTGGAGAGGCAATGGGATCAATGTTTTGAAGATTGCACCTGAATCTGCTATCAAGTTCATGGCATATGAGCAGGTAATTCATCTTTATTTCTTTAGCTCTTTTACAATGTAGATTTTGTCAAAGCAGCTTCACATAAACGTTCTAGTAAACTGAAACTATGTCAGTCCAGTTTTCAGTTTCAGAGTTCAGTTCAGTGTGGTTTGAATTTCACTGCTGAAAGTCCAAACACTGCAGAGCTAATCTACCGATGCATAGCCTGAACCATGAAAGCCAGTGGCATCAGTGGTGGGGAACAAACTTCACCAATTGACTTAAGTGAAGGTAAAAATCTCAAAAGAAACCAACCTTAGTTGAACACAACCATTTCTCCTCTGACCAAACCTCTTGTGCAGAGCTGCAGTCTAGGTGCCGGATATTATGATAAACATTATAATAGCTTATAAGGCAAACATAATCTTATTAAAATATTACATTGTGACCAAATAACCCTTTTGCTCATGTTGTCAAATTAATTGTTTAATTTGTAACGAATATTGAGCTATAATAGAGGTTAAAACTGCTGAGCAGAGACAACTTTTTGGTTAACAAAAACTATGTAAAAACACTACTTACTATTTTAACTTCAACAACTAAAGCCTAAAACGCACTGTGGTTTTAAAGCTTAATGCTGCCTCAGGAGTGGGTCCTAAATCCCTTTCATTCCCAGTCACTTGTCCAACTGTTCCAAGTATATTTCTATTGATAGTGCAGATTGATGTAGATTAGCAAGATACAGCCTCATCCAATGTCTGCACTTTTTTCTGCCTAAGTCATGAGTAATAAACATTTGCGATGCAAAGCATTTTTGGTGGTAATATCGGAAATCAGTATTGCCCAATAAACGCTTCTTTTAATGTTTTTTATCGGCTCAGTAAGAAAATAAACTATTGGCAAATAAATAATACATTATTTCCATCAGTTTACACCAGAGCAGAGTTCCCATACATTCTGAAAAAACCTAGAAATCTACAGGGTTGTTTTCCAGTCAGGAGATTGATGGATTGACCAACTGTCCTGGAAATAATGCTTCTTGTCCTGGGTTTTTCTGTTTGAGCTGAGCTAGGTCTTGGTCTCTGCTGCGCAATGGCAATTACATTTTGATTTGACCCTCCGAGGTTCCTCTAACCGTTTGTGACCAACTCCGGTCATGAATTACCTGTAAAAGCTTCTGGAAAGGTCTTGGAATTGTCCTGGAAAATGATTTATTAAAAGGAGTGAGCACCCTGTAGAGCAAGAGTGCCCAATCTCTGTCCTGGAGGGCCGCTGTCCTTCATAGTTTAACCAAACTTCCTTTAACACACCTGCCTGGAAGCTTCTAGGCTGCATTCCAGTCCATTTCACTCATTAACTTTTCTGTTCTCTACATTCCCTCCGATGTACGTCATTGATTACGTTACACAAGTGTCCACTACTGGTTGAACATCTGATTGGGTTTAAATGCAACACCATAAATGTTTGAGCACTTAGAAACTACGCTGTTGTGACATAACAGTCGTATTGCACTCTGGAGTGCAATACCTGCTGGAGTGAACGTGAAGTCAACTCGTTCCCTCAGTCAAAATCAAGAAATCGAGGGTATGTCCATGTAAACTTCCCTTGTTCACTTGATGATGAAGTGGAATGCATTTTAAAATGGCCAGAGGGATTCCACTGGGGGAACAAGGAAAGGGAAGTTTGTGAGTGCGTGCCTAAAGGTCGAATGGAACTTCAACAACTAATGCCTTAAGCGTACTGTGGTTTTTAAAGCTTAATGCTGCCTCGAGACGAGAGTGAGTCCTAAATCCCTTTCATTCCCTGTATGAAGTCAGTAGTTCTAGTATACCTAGAAAGAGCTTGATCAGCTGGTTCGGATGTGTAAAATTGAGGTTTGAACTAAACTCTGAAGAACACCTGCCCTCCAGGGCTGAATTTGGGCAACCTTCCCTGCTGTTGAGGGAAGACGAGGGCTGTTTCTCAATTCCAAGAATGCAGAGAACGGACAGTTCTTGTGAAGAGCAGTCTTGCCAGATCACCTCAGAAGAACAAACTCGGAATGTGATGTGATGCTGCATTCTCATGACCTTCATACGTTTTTAACAGAAAATGATTTAAACGTTACAGCATTCATACAAAGCTTTATTGTTTTTCCCAATATATATATATTGTTTTTCCCAATATATACTATGCATAAAGACCTTACAGATATACTTTGCACAAAAAGAATAAAACACATTTTAATTTGAATTTCAGCAAATAAACTCCCTTAATGTGTTTATTCCTTTATTAAGATGTTCATGGTAATGTTTACTTTCACCGTCTCATTTAGGGAAACTCCAGAAACAAATAGGTTGTATCTCTGAAATTTAATAATAAACCTATATAAAATGCTGCGCTTCCCACCTTCAGTCGCAATGACTTCTGGGACTTCTAGAGCAAGTTAGATGCTCAAGTCTGCATCGACACATCCTCGATATCAAGAACACATCTGGAAAGTTGCACACTTACTCCGTTCTTGCGGTCTTGAGTTTTGGAACTGAACTTTGCCAGTTGATGATGACGTTACACGAGAATACAAGGACGCAAGATCACTGAAGAACACATATTGAGAAACAGCCAAGATATCAGCAGTGTGAGGAGTTTTCACAGTGAAAAAAAGTAGACTTGGTGTCTGTGTGAAGTAAAACATTTATTTGGCATAATAAGAGATATTTGTATTGGCAATCTTCAGTCAAAGTCTGACCAATTGCTTTCTTTTCATTAGTTTGATGACTTCAGCCACAATAATCTTAACAATGTCCCTCTTACTGTCAATTTGCTAAGAGGGAATGATGCACAAAAAGAAAGCCCCGGACGTTACTTAATATTTGGTTTCAGTTGGAATGTCAGCATACTGAAATAAAAGTCCCAGCAACGTCCTGCTCACACAGATTTTAAGAATAGCAAATAGTAAAATAAACAATTTCAAAACTGCATATAGCAATTGATTTTGGGGAAAAAAGATTTTGATATTTCCTTCCAGTTTATTTTTCTTTGCAGTAAATTCAGTGTTGATATGTTGTATACAAATGAAATGTAAAGAAAACTGGTTCATGTGTTTTATACCTTGCATTACAGGCAAACAGTGACATCTATTAATTTAGTACTAAATTTAGTATGTTTTGCTCTGTCCTTTAGATTAAGCGGCTCATTGGCAGTAATCAGGAGACGCTGGGGATCCTAGAGAGACTGGTTTCTGGTTCTCTAGCAGGCGCAATTGCGCAGAGCAGCATTTACCCAATGGAGGTAAGAACATAAACTTTATTACTGTACATTTCAGTAACTCACCACCATCTTTTTAATTATGTTCTCCTTTCTGCATCAAACAAAGCATGACTTTGTTAGATGCCTCAGAGCTTAAACAAAGCTTCTGTGTGTTTAAGGTTTTAAAGACTCGTCTTGCTCTGGGAAGGACGGGTCAGTACTCGGGAATTGCAGACTGTGCTAAACATATTTTTAAGAAGGAGGGCATGACAGCTTTCTATAAGGGTTACATTCCCAATATGCTGGGTATCATCCCTTATGCTGGAATAGACCTGGCTGTTTATGAGGTGAGTTTTACACTGTAAGAAACGGAATATATACTTCTCAGGCTACATCGTTGTTGTTGTTAACTGAATATGAACATTTAATATTAAATATATATATATATATATATATATATATATATATATATATATATATATATATATATATATATATATATATATATATATATTATTTTATACAATATATAATTTTAATTATATCAATTATATTATGCCATCAAAACACACTCAAAAAAATTATTTAGTAGTTTTTCAAGCTGCTTATTTTAAATGAGCTGAAATAACAAGTTTTTTGAGAAATCTGTTTTTGGAACAACTCACTTGTTTTATGTTCAATCCACCTACATTTGTTACGTTAAATTAATTGATTTGGGCTGGGCAAACAGGAATGAATTATGTAAAACACTGCATCATTTTCTAGTAAATATATGTTTTAGTTCTAGTTTGTTTATTTATAAAGCACATTTAAAAACAGACACAAGAGTGACCAAAGTGCTGTACATAAGTTAAAGTAAAATAAAAAGAAGAATATAAAAACATGAAAATAAGTCAAGAGAAATGACTGAATAAATTTAAAAATGAAGCAGTAGAAAGAACTATTAAAATAATATTGAAAAACTAAGCTAAATAGGTACCTTTAAGGAGTAGTTTAAAAATCGATAGTTATGGAGCCATTCTAATCTCAAGGGGCAAAGTGTTTCATAACCGCAGACCCACTACAGAGACAGCTCTGTCCCCTCTACGTTTCAGTCTGGACTGAGGATATAAAAGTAGATTTTGATCACTTGATCTGAGAGATAGGTTGAGGCTAGATTATGAAGAGAGTTACATACCAGTAAAAGCATTTTAAAATCAATTCTGAATTGGATGGGCAGCCAATGGAGGCCCCCTTAAAAAAATAAAAAAAAATAAAAGCAATCCAAGAGAAAACGAAAGTCATAAGTATACAGGTATATAAATTTAATATAAATATAAATTTGTTTTTGTGTTTTACTTCAATCTTTATTTTAGTACAGTTGTGTTAATGGATAGTTAATAATAATTTAAATGGCATTGCTATTTTATATATTACACTGTGATTTAACTCAATATCGCTCCTATTTTTTCCTGTAGACACTGAAGAACTCATGGCTGCAGAGGTTTGCCACAGACAGCGCTGATCCGGGTGTGTTTGTGCTGCTAGCTTGTGGTACAATGTCCAGCACATGTGGACAGTTAGCGAGCTACCCGTTAGCCTTAGTGAGGACACGCATGCAGGCGCAAGGTCAGTCTTCACAACAGACAAGACTTGTTTACTGCTAGAAACCCTCAATGCCTAATTCTATAGATCTCCTGTCACCGACATTTACCGTTCATCTTTCATTTGTCCTCCAGCTTCTCAGGAAGGAAGTCCTCAGATGACCATGTCAGGACTCTTCAGACACATTGTACGGACAGAGGGCGCTATTGGACTCTATAGAGGCTTGGCACCCAATTTTATGAAGGTCATCCCTGCTGTTAGCATCAGCTATGTGGTCTATGAGAACTTAAAGATCACCCTTGGCGTTCAGTCCCGGTGAGAGAAACCTGAGCACTGTTAAATCCTTTTTTCTTTTTTTATTACTGAAAGGAATCCTTCGACAGTTTGCACTCAAGGAGAAATGGAGCATCAGTTGGCCAAGAAACAGCATGCATGATGGGAAGATCAAAACTTTTTTTTTTCCTCAAAATTTCAAGCCAGAGGTTTGCTTTTGATCCCTGAATGGAAGAATAACTGGAATATATGAGAAAGCACTGAAAGATAATAATCAATACCTCTGCTTAAAACACAATCTTTGCTGTGAGTAAAATGTGAGCATCTCTAAATGACGTGTGTTTTAAATCCAGACACCCCCTCAATTATCCTCTGATGTCATTTTAAAGGAACTCTCCAATTCTTTTGGAAGTAGGCTCGCTTTACTAATCACCTGGAGTTAAACAGTTGAGCACTGTTAGCTTAGCTTAGCATAAATCATTGAATCCGATTAGACCATTAGCCATTTATTGTAAATTGAGCATATTTCCCCCAAAAAAGTGGAGTTTTTCTTTAAGGATATGGAGTTGTTTGCTGTAGGGACTGCAAGACTGTATTAAAGGATTTATGTGAAGGAAGAGTCACACACAAGATTGATTCAAAGAGCAAGAGTTACAGAATCATTTAGTACATGCAACAACAACAAACAAAACAACTGCATTCTTCAGTTCATTATTTAAAGCAAACAACTGGAACTGGATGCGCTAGAAACTTTGTTAGATGTGATGCTAATATTCCTGGTGGAGCTCCGGAGTCCTCATTCCACTAGATGGCAGTGTTCAGTAGTGAAGTCTGGCACTTTCTTATAAAATCAACAACATACTTACATTTCGCTCACATAACTTATTGCTTTTATGTTTATTCAACTTATTTGTTTGTGTTATTAGGCTCAATTTACACTTTTCATGTTTTCAAAGTTACAGAGAGCAACATGGGGGATTATTGAACGTTTTCTTACTCAAATGGGGTCCCAGTTATACCGCTGAGGACTTTTCTTTGATAATTTATTTTTTAATGCTGTTTATTTATTAAATGTAGAAGGTTATTAGAAAAAGAATTCAACATAAAATGATTTAAAGAAACACTACACACTCCCCATGATGATGGGCAGCTAAACAGATGTTAAGGAAAAAGAAAGTCTTTAACACTTTGGGTCCAGGTTGAAAATGATTGTGGTTTGAGAATCAGTTAGTCAGTGATTCTCAACTTCAGACCCACCACTCTGCATATTTTTATGTCTCTTTCATTTACATGCAGGAAACTTTGGAAATTTGGTTCCACCACTAAATATCTAAACTAAATGACTTCATCTCACAATTCTGACTTTTTCCTCTCAGTTTTGACTCTCATTTGCTAGTTGTTAAAATAGAATTTCAGTACTTGCATACTTGTATATCTAAATAGTCAGCTTTAAATGGAAAGACCGGTTGAAACCCGCAATTCTGACTTTGCTTTTTCAGAATTGTAAGATTTAAACTCTCAATTCTATAGATATGTAGTCAAATATAGCCTTTTCCTTTTAGAACTGAACTTTGTGACTTGTGAATACGAGTTTGTCTCAGTTTTGGGGAAGTAAATGTGGGTTTTTATCCACCAACTTAAGACTTTTTTTCATACTGCTTTTCTCCCACTGTTAACAGTGAATATCTAGCAATTATGTCTTAATAATGGGCAAATGCGTGATTTTATTATGTAATTCTGAGGAAAATAAGTCAGAACTGCAGGGTTTATTTCTGCCAAATTGACAAATTTTCTCAAATAGCTACCTTTTTTTTGGCCAATGCAAGTTTCAATCACTCATTTCTGAAAAACGTAAGAATTGTAAAATAAAAACCCACATCTACATTTTTCATTTTTTTATTCAGTGGCCATATGAATCAGATCTTCAGCTTGAGTTAACGAGAGCTCCATAACCTGAACTGTGTGCGTCCAATAGGAGACGCATGTAAAGTATGCAGATGACTGAGTTGAGGAACCGCTGGTCTTGGTAAAGTTTGAGAAAACAAAGCTACTGATATTTTCAAACAATTCTTGTTCATAGATGATCTGCATAACTTCAGTGTAAATATCATTTCTCACCATTATTAGTTTTGCGAGGACTTCAGTAACGTCTATAACACTCTGATTTATACTCCGTCTAGTTAAGGAACATATTTAAGCACTTTATTTTAATAATAAAAATAAAATAAACCAGACTTGAATTTTTAGGAGAACTTGCAACAGAAGGATAGTATTCAGTAGTTCAGTAGTGTGTGTTTAAGAGCATTTTTAAATGTTTGTTTCAGCTTGGGGGGAAAAGAGTTCAGTTTTTGTAAACTAAACGCTAAAAGAGGTATACAGTATGTTATGATATCTTTTGACTCTTCATCAGGAGATGGATATCTTGTATATTTGGATGTGACATTTCAAAATTGACACCCATGTTAAAAATGAATTTAGTTTTTTGTTGACCTTACGGCATTTGCATGAGAAGCCCTGAAACCCAGCAGTTCACTGGGTTGCGATTCTACAAGACCTTTAGTGTTGATATAGTTGCCTTATTTATAAATGGAATAAAGCTGCTTTTAGACTCTTTGGAGGAAATGTAGGAAGATGGGAATGAAATATTTTTCTAATGCGTTGATTCTCAGGGAGAATACAGCGGTCTCAGATGAGACTCTTCTCCATTCTGCGTGGTACAGTATGTGTGCAGGCCCTGAGAACAGTTTGGCTTTTTTTCATGGCCCGAAAACAAACTTGTATCAGTGGAAAAACTGCGAATACCCTTCTGTGTCCTGCTGAGCTCAGCTGCGGCCCGATTCCCTTTGGATCAATTCCGTCTTTGTAAATGCATGTGTATGTGTGTGTCTTGTCTGAATATGCACAAGTTGCACTGTAGAGTCTACAGGGCTTTAAAAGCTGTATTGCCTGCCTCGTGATGGAAGCAGCGTATTTTTGTCCGTTTTGCGTTTTGCACTGTTTCTCACAGGAGAAATCTCTGGACTCTAGATGTCCTGAGACTAAAGGCTTTAGATTTGTGTGCGTTTCTTTTTTTTTGGTGGCGATTCACACAATCAAGGAATGCCACTCTTCGAGACTGCCTCTAGTCTATTGCCTTATCATTGAGCTGTTTGCTGCAGCTTCTGTGAGTGTAAATGCACAGTGTTTGCCACATCTATATCCATATGTACTGTTGCTGGGCTCCCCTGACTTTCATAAGCATTCATACTAATCAAATATCCAGATTTTTGTACCGTGAAACATATCTAGATGTGATGACACATCTGCAAAGTTTCAGTTGATGCCGCAATGTGCAGATCAATGCAAAAATATGTTTACTGGACTAAAGGAAAATAAAATCTATGTCCGCTATAGAATGCAAAATTGAATGTAGAGTGGGAATATTTATGTTTGTAAAATAACTGTAAAATAAAGTTATTCTTGATTTTGTTCATGGAAGTTGGGTGTTTTTTTTATTATTTATTTTATTTCAGGTCAGTCTGGGATTAAACTCTGTCTTCGGAATAAAGAACTGTGAGGGGAAAACGAGAAATATATGCTTGTACTATTTTTTTTTTAAGAGTTCACGCGTAGATAATGCTTGACGTCGACGATGTTAGCAGGTTTGCCATGCTGTCCCAGGAGAGAACCCTGAGCTTGGAGATAGATTAACACAAGGCTCCCGCCTTGTCAATGAGCATTAAGAGGGACATGAGATCAGGTAGTTCTCAAGAGTTCCCCTAATTCATTTGGCCTATAACTTGATTATTAAGATGGCTCTATATAGAAATGGACAGCCAACCACACCAGTGTGTATGCATTAAGTGCTTGTGACTGTTACTACACTGTAAAACCCAATAAGTTAAGTTGAATCAAACCGTTTGAGGAAACCGATTGCAACAAACTATTTAAGTTCAAAAACTAATCTATATGAGTACTGTGAACTTAATTTATTTGAGTAAATGCAGCAATTTGAGCACAGTAAAACCCAATAAAAGAAGAGAACCTAAAACAACTGAGTACTGTAAAACCCAATAAGATAAGACAACTTGAACCATTTGAGGAAACCGATTGCTACAAACCATTATGTATATATGAGTACAATGAACCTACTTACCTTTAACACTGAGTTCAAAACTCTTTTCACATGAGTAGAATTAACTTTCAGTCAATTTGAGTTAACTACACTCATTTAATTCACTTGTGTCAAATGTATTTAGACTGTGGAAGGAAACTGGAGTACCCAGGGGAAATCCACGCAAACACGGGGAGATGCTGACTGACTCATCTAGGACTTGAACCAGCAACCTTCTTGCTGTGATCGAGCCTGATCCTAGAACTGAATAGGGATGGATGGAGGGGTCTTCCAAAATGAAGATAGAGAATGAAGTAAAGCTGCGGACACGTTGGGTTTTTCTCCCCATAGACTTCCATTCATATGCACGCAAATGCATCTGACCGGAAATGCAAGGTCATGCATCAAGTTTCGCAGGTTGCAAAGTTCAAGCTTGGTGAACTCTGACCTGGAAAATTGCATCACTTGACTACCAACTTGACTCGCATCACTTGAGACGCCAACTGAGCCGAGACTCGAACCAGCGATCTTCTTGCTGTGAGGCGACAGCACTACCTATTGCGCCACTGCCTCGCCCTTACGGTCTAGTCGTGTTTTGTTAAACAACTGAATAAATAATGGACCGAACAAAATGCATAAACACTAGACAGTAAAATTTTGCTTTTGTATGATATTTATTATTTTGTATTTGTAAATATATTCGCTGTTGGAAATAAAGGTTTAGCAACTGTTTGGAAACAGAATCTCGGAGTGGGGAAGGAGAGCGACTCAGCAGACTGATCACATGACAGCGGTTTGCCGTCTGAGGAAGTCATTCATCCGCAGACCGAGAGTAAATACTGCTCGTGTCTCACACCCTGCCGAGCTGACTACATAGACAGCATATCTGGGACGTTCTGTCACACCTCAGCCATGATCGGTTGGGATACATGAACAGATTCGAGTCGCTAGCGAAGAGCGAGAATACTGTTTAGCTAAGCAGCAGTCGTCAGCGGTTTTGACACACGGCCACAATGTGTGCAAGGGGAGTTGCCGAATGACTTGAGTACACACTAAATACGCTTTTACAGTAGTTTTTTTTTTCTTATTTGCCCAGTTATATGTAACTCCGGCTATGTTTATTGTACCAACAACCGCACAGTGATCACGAGTTTCAGGCTGTTGAAAACAGGACCTGGATCAGCACTAATATCAGCTCGACTCCTATCACTACTGTGTTGAGCAGCTTCTAGCAGAGAAAGATGTCCTTTGAGGAAGCTAAAGCGAAATTAGAAGCAGCAGGACAGACTCATGTTTTACAGTTCTGGGATGAACTTTCTGCGGAAGAAAGGGGCACATTTCTGGAGGAAATTTTTCAGCTGCAGCCCGACGAGTTAGTCGAGCACTGCCGAGAAGCTGCAGCGTCCGCAAGCCGACAATCGAGTGCCGATGGTCGGCTTGACGCGCGGATGCAGCCCGTTCCTCCAGAGTTCATTGGGAGTGTGCGTAAAAGTGACAGAGAAACCCTTCAGAAGTGGGAGAATGAAGGTACAGCTCCAACTGTTTAATATTGTATACAATGATACATTTTTCTTTATTATTTCGTCACTGTGCTCAAAGTCTCATTAAAGTTATTAAACAACTTGTATTTTCAGGGCTACTGCAGATTTCACAGGACAGAGTGGCTGTTTTGCTGTTAGCTGGTGGTCAGGGGACTCGTCTTGGAGTATCTTATCCCAAGGGCATGTATAATGTTGGGCTTCCAAGTGGGAAAACCCTGTACCAAATTCAGGCAGAGAGGATCCAGAAAGTACAAGAGCTGGCCAATGTGAGGCATGGCAGTAGGTGCACAATACCATGGTATGGTTCTTTTAATTTCAGCTTTAAGCACCATTTGGTCTTGTGGAAGTTTTTTTTTTTTTTTTTTGGACCTGCAAATTCTGAAGTGGAAATGTCCTCTGAAACAAAATGTCAACACGATAAATGGATAATTGTGAAGTAATTTGTTACTTTTAGTAGGCCTAAATGTTTAGCTTGATTAATGCAATGACTTGTTTGACGTTTGAAAACTGGCTCTGGAAAATCACACATCTGTCAGTAGTAATAAAAATGAACTGGTGGTTTATGAAACTTGCCAAACAAACAAGCAAATGACTTAAAACTTGTACTGACTTGTCTTTTAATAATGTATGAACAGGTTCATAATGACCAGTGAGTTCACCCTGGGACCCACAGAGAAGTTCTTCAAAGACAACAAATATTTTGGCCTTTGTCCATCCAATGTGGTCATGTTTGAACAGAGGATGATACCAGCTGTGGGCTTTGATGGAAAGATCATCCTGGAGAAGAAAAACAAAATAGCCATGGCTCCAGGTCTGACAGAGCTCATTTGGCTTTAGAAAGAATTTGAATTGATCAAATAATTTTATTGTTGATGTGTTAAGAGCAGATCATAAAATAATACAATCAACTAGAGCCTACCTTTCATAATTATTTGTTTTCATTCGTTACGTGTGAACAACGAAATATGGTCACATCAGTGTCTTTTTTTTTACTTAGTTTACTTTAGTTTAACTGACTGAAACCAGCATCTTCATGTTTATGTCTTATTCAGATGGAAATGGCGGCCTCTATCGGTCACTGGTGGACAACAAGATTTTAGAGGACATGGAGAGAAGGAATGTGGAGTTTCTTCACGTGTACTGTGTGGACAACATCTTGGTGAAGATGGCAGACCCGGTTTTTATTGGCTTTTGTGTAACCAACGGAGCAGACTGTGGTGCCAAGGTGAAAATGCCCTGTTTATGGGCTTGACTAAATCCCATATATTTTTATGATTGTGTTGTTTTGGGGTGGTTAGCCATGTTTACCTTGATTCTGGTCAGGTGGTGGAAAAGGCCTATCCTGCAGAGCCTGTTGGAGTGGTGTGCCGTGTGGACGGTGTATATCAGGTGATTGAGTACAGTGAGATCCAGCCAGAGACGGCAGAGCTGCGAGGCTCAGGAGGAGAGCTTGTGTTCAGTGCCGGGAACATTTGCAATCACTTCTTTACCCGGAGCTTCTTGAGGGACGTGGCAGAGTATGTACTCTCATCACAATGTTTTAGCATACAGTCACGTTCTCTTTTGTGTAAAGTCAACTTATTGTGCATAAAGTAAATGTTTTTCTGTAATCTATTATAATAATCATGCTTCATTATTTTACCAGGCAAGAGAATCTCTAATATAAAGCCTACTAGATCTTTTTATTATCAAGGTACTGGTGCAAAATTATGGGTTCTCAATACAAGATTAGTTTGTAACAACTTATAATAATGTTCGGTTTATTAACATTTGTTAACAGTAGTTAGGTATTAATTACAGGAAATTCTTTGCTCAGTTCAACCTCAAGCTCAATTATATAGCACATTTCCACAAGGCCACACAAAGTGCTTTACAGAGAAGATACAAACAAGCAGTACGGACATAATAAACAAAACAGCAATAGGCACACAATGTAAAAGAGAACATAAAAGATGTAAAATATATTATACAAACAGTTTGGTTTCAATGCCTAAAACAAGAAAGTAATTGACTCTTTAAATAATTCAACCTAGTTCAAAGATGCTACCACAGTTGACCACAATAAACAGGATTAAATACGAGACCGTTGGCCCCCTGAGGAAGGGACTTGTGCTTCAAACAACCTAGAAAATAGATGAGTCTTTACTTTAGACTTAAAAATTAGCAGTGACTAAGCCATTTTTAATTCTAGTGGCAGCACGTTCTAAAAGGAGGACCAGCTATAGCGAATGCACGTTCGCCCCTGCTTTGAGGTGCGCCTTTGGGACTTTTAATAGACACTGATGAGTGTTGGCCACAATCAGTTGAGATGAATAATGAGGGCCCAGGCCACGTAAGGTTTCCCATAAAGAGAAGGTTTTTAAATTTGATTCTTTGTCCCACCGGTAGCCAATGGAGAGACCTTAAAATGGGAGCGTGCATATTTCAGACTTTTTGTTAAAAGTCTAGCTGCTGCGTTTTGCACTAACTGTAGGCGAGCGATCTTATTCACCCACTTTCACAGCAAACGAAATCATAAAAGACAAATGAAAAGGTTTGTAATCCAATCTGAGGGATTTTTGTCCCTTTACTGAAGGTTGATTCACCCCAAACTCAGTTGAAAATGTTGAATGGTCACAAAACAAAATAGTTGAGCTAACATTAACCTATTTATTAAAATACCATTTTATTTTTATAATAATATTTATTAACCTTATCGGTTTTGCTTAGGACACATAATACCTACAGGTAACTGTTTACAAAACCAGAAGCTTAAAGCATAGACTCTCAGAAAACATGCATGTTGGTCAAGAATATGGAACATATTGACTTCATCTGTAATCAAAGCCCTTTGTGCAAATGACTCCTCTTTCATTGTAGAAAGTTTGAGAGTAAGCTGAAGCAGCATGTGGCAATCAAGAAAGTGCCGTTTGTGGATGGAGAAGGAAACCTGGTGAAACCAACAAAGCCCAATGGCATCAAAATGGAGAAATTTGTATTTGACGTCTTTCAGTTCTCAAAGTGTGTTTGCAGCTATTCTTAATTTGGGCAAAATCAGGTATCACCCTCTTCTTCACTGTAATTTGTTTTGTCTTTGCAAGGAAATTTGTCGCATTTGAGGTGTTGAGGGAAGAGGAATTTTCACCCCTGAAAAATGCTGATGGGGCACCTCTGGACACACCAACCACAGCACGCCGATCTTTGCTAGCACAACATTACCGCTGGATTCTGGCAGCCGGTGGAAGCTTCCTTGATGAGCAAAATAAGCCCTTCACACCAAAACATAGGTGATAACACTAAATACCCTTTAGTAAATCCACATCAAATAAGGATTGTTGGACAGCATCCTCAATGTCTCAGAGGGATAGTTAATCAAAAACTGAAAATTTCCTAATCATTTACTCACACTCAAGTGCTTCCAAACCTTTATGAATTTTTAGAAACAAAACATAGGCCTACTATGGAAGTCAGTGACTTCAGAAACAACATTCTTAAGGATATCTTGTGTTCAAGATATGAAATAAACTTAAACAGGTTTAAAACAAGTGGAGTAGTTCATTTTTAGGTGAACTATCCCTTTAAAGAGTCCTTTACGATCGTGTTCCATTTTCTTTGAGTAACTGATCATGTTTGTGACTTTAACTAATGGTAAAACTGAAACCATTATAAAATGTTTACATTTGCTTCAAAAAAACAGAAAACTGAAACTTACAGTTATGGTAAGGATATTACATTTCGGACATGCTTCAGGTTATATCTGCGTTAAAAAATCATGTGTTCCTTTACATTAGCGAGACAGGACTGATGGGCTTTATTCTGGTTAAACAACTGGCTAGATATACATTATTCCACTTATTACACAGATATTTGCCTCAAAATGAAATAATTAGACACTAAACACTGATCTGAGCTGTAATCATTTACTTACTCTTTAATTTAATGTAAAGTTCGCCGAAATGATGACTAGTTGCAGCTTGCGCTAAACAACTTGTATAATTATTCAGCCACAAGATGGCGCCAAACAGTCAAGATCAGCGGCGTGACAGATAAGCACAAAACTGTCGATTGAATAATATACTTGGGATAAGATGATTCGTGTTCGTATTTCATTCTTTGGAATGTCGTGATTGATTACTCAGAAATCAGGTAAACATGAATTTACATGCAGACGGCTATTATTATTGAGTAAACCTGAAGTAAACAAGTCCATGAGGAAAGAAGCTGCAAACAAGCAAGCTATGTACCCACATGCCATGGAAATAGAGCACGTCAACATATCCTACTGCTATCAGTAAACAAATATTGACTGTTTAGAATAGCGTCAAATGACCTTTACTGCAAATATGATGTTTTCTCTCATATTTTAATTTGTTTTATAATTCTAAACAAACCAGTTGTAGAAAAGGATGTGCTGTAGACATTTCCTAAAATCAACTCTATTCCCCTTATGAATTGAGTTCCCTCCATCTGACTTAACCTGAAAGAAAAATGCCTAAAAGGGATGTCTTGCCCGTCGATGCAGAAAATGAACTATTTTAAGTCAGTTTCTTAAATGGACAGCAGGGTGAGTGTTTTATAATGACTGACTTTGTCTCTGCTTTCTTTTGCAGTACTGCGCAGAATGAAGACCCACCAGCTGTCTGTGAAATCTCTCCACTCGTATCATACTTTGGCGAGGTAAAAACTCAAATACTTTTATTGTTGTTGTGGTTTTTGTCAATTTAGAATTGATAATACTGATGAAAAGTCTAGTTTTGTGTCTAAGAGACCTACATCTGACACAAAAGCTAAACATTTTTAACAGAATACCAATTTTTTAGAGTTAGTACAAAAAGAGGCAAGATTAGCCCTGAGGCACAGAGTGAAAAAGGGCAACTAGCATGTGTGAACATATGGAGCATGATGTGAACTGGAGCGGATGATGTTAAAGCAGTGTTACTGTTCTCAGGAGAGAGCGTTAGAGACAGCTGCAACGCCACATCTCTTTCTATCCTTTTTTTCATTCTTAGCCTCAGTGACGCATGGATGTATATTAATTGCTGTGTTTTTCAGGGTCTGGAAATGCTGCTAAATCAGAAGAACTTGAAGTCGCCTTTTATACTTGATGAGAATGAAGCCAAAAATCTTGTGCAAACAGTATAATGTTTTTAGCTGAGGATTATGCATGGTAGATTTTTGACAGTAAAGGAAATTAAAGGGATGTTTGCAAATCAACAATAAATACATAAACTAGTTAGTTTGGGCTCTGTATGATGTTTGGTTTTACTGTAGAAGTCACTTCATGAATTACAACTGGTACAAAATGCTGCAGCTCGTATTATCACAAAAACCCCATCTGCCTGTCACATCACATCAATTCTACAACAGCTTCACTGGCTTCCCATCCTTTTCAGAATTAATCATAAAATACTTCTTCTCACTTTTAAAGCCATCCACAATCTCGCTCCTCCATACCTTGCTAATCTTGTTCATATCGCCACACCTTCTTGAACACTCAGGTCTTCTTCTTCCATTCACCTCACTGTTCCCTCTGTCCACCTTGTCTCCATGGGGAGCAGATCCTTCAGTCACTCTGCTCCTCAGCTTTGGAATCCACTTCCTTCTGATCTGCGTAATTTAGACTCTCTTTCACAATTTAAATCCAAACTCAAAACACATCTGTTTAGAACAGCCTATTCTCTTTGACCCGATTGAGTTTTAAAGTTTGTATTGTATTCTATTGTTTTTATTTGAACTGATTGTTCTAGCTGTCCTGTACGGTGACCTTGAGTGTCATGAAAGGCACCTTTAAATAAAATGCATTATTATTATTATTTGAAAATGCTCACAAAGGTTACATTTATTTGATCAAAAATACACTTAACAACTCATTTATCAAATATTGCAACAAATTAAAGAGAACTGTTTTTTTATGTTTAAGAATGCCATTTATTCCTATTAATACTCAAATTTGGTGTTAAAAAACTTTTTTCTACAATCAGTGTTTTGTGCTGCTTGCTTTAAAAAAACAAAAATGTATACATTTTTTCAGAATTTTCTTTTATAACAACTCTCAAAATTAAAGTTTAAACAATAAACATTTATTTAAAATAGAAAGATGCAGCTGTATTTCTTAGATTAAAGGGCACTTATGATGAGCTGGACATGATGAACAAGATGATGACAATCTTATGATGACAAGCTTATGATGAACTGTCTGTATGTGTATATATAGTGTGTCCACTGTCATATTGGAGTGATATAAACCCAATAAGTCTCTTTTTAATCATCTACTGGTGCTAAAATAGAACCTTAATCCCTGTGATTTTGAGGCCCACCGGCTGCATGGGGTCAGTAAACGCACATAGATGTGTGTGTGTGTGTGTGTGTGTGTGTGTGTTTACTACAACTATAAACAGCATTTGTGTGCGAGTCATCACTTCAGAAAGGCTTGAAAAGACTCCACCACAAATACATCAAATGTACTTGGTATTTTTAAAAATTTGACGAGCTGTATTTCAGCTTTATCCATGTCTGTTTCTATCACCGACTGCTGTTTATCTCATGTATAACAGGAAAAGCATACACACATGTGGGAACACTGAGTGGGGAGAAGCAGCTCATTTGCATTTAAAGACACATGCTACAAAAACAGCTACAGTATACTCAGACAACAAAATGGGCAGATTCTGGAGGCTATAATGAATTATATGTTGGGTGTTTTGAGCTGATACTTTACAGTCATATTCTGAAGACACCAAAGGCTTATTCTACACTCGTAAAAAATGTGCCCTTTAAGTGGATATTCAACCATTTTTTGTCTACTCAAACTAAAGTTATTCTTCTAAGTGTCCCTACTGTGAATGTCTGCCTCTATAGATCTGTCAGTTTATGATGTTAAAGTTATAAAGTAATTTTGACACAGCAGTGTCTCTTTAGCATTTTGTACAGAACACTATTAATCCCTGTTTTATATATAGATGTCACACATATTCAGCCTATGCTAGCCTTTCCTGTTGCTTAAAGACTAATTGATTGCGTCTAAAATGTTTATATTATTGCAGTGCTGTCCTCACTGGAGCATCCAAATCCCCTCTTAATGAATTGCAATAACTGCAGAATTCAGCAGCTATAATCCTAACTGGCACTAGTTGTTGGTGAATACATAATCTTTATATTTTAAACATGATACTGACTCCCTGTTAGGTATCATATGTATGTTTTAAAATGATATAATGCTAGCTTGATATATTGGTAGATTTAAAATGATAATGCTAGCTTACTCTGCGGTAACTGGTTGCTCTTTCAACACCCAGTCATCATCACATGCTTTAGATGCTTCCTAAAACTTGTCTTTAATGGATGGAATTATTTGTTATTTCTCTTGTATTTACAATGCTTTGTTTTATATTGTTTTGTCTTTTTTTTGCATTGTTTAAGCACCTTTGAGAAAGTGACTTTGAAAGACACAAAGAATATATATTATGTTATAATTCATAAATAAATATATTAAAATATATAATATTTAAATATTGTCATTATAAATATCCTTGCCATCACATTTGATCAGTTAAATCCAATGCTGAATAAAACTATGAATTGCTTAAAAATATACTGACTGCAACTATTATTAGTATTTTCATTCAAATTCCTTCTTAGTCCCTTTATTTAATAGGGCTCGCCACAGCTGAATGAAACGCCAACTTATCCAGCACATGTTTTACGCAGCGGGTACCCTTCGCTGCAACCCAGTACTGTGAAACACCCATACACTTACATTCACACTCAACGGACAATTTAGTTTATTCAATTCACCTGTATCACATGTCTTTGGACTGCGAGGGAAACCGGAGCACACCCACGCGAACACGTGGAGAATATCCATTATTAATATTTCATAATAATTGTAAAATGATCTAAACAGACATAACATAATACGCTCATGGGGAACCTGTCATTTGTATATATGCAGTGTGATTTTGTGGGTTGTTTATATTGCTTGATTCTGACACTGCATTACTGCATATATCCACTTGCAGTTCTGAGAATGCTTCCTCTCTTCCTTTGGCTTTACATTTGCATCCCAGTTTCAAGCCGAGACCTCACGTGAACACAAGCGACCAATAGGAAACATGACATGTACCCGTCCTCACATCTAAGCTGCGGAACGGCATCAACAAGCTTATTAGAGCGAAAGAAACACAGAATACTGAAGTACCGCCGTTTCGGTTGAATCACAATGTTATAGCCGTCTCCATTAGGCGTGCAGCATACGAACCCCGACGCCAGGGGACAAATATCCCGGTCAGAAATGGTTGTTGTTGTGGAATTTAGCGCAGGACGCGTAGGAGCGCACTTGACAGCTGGAATGTAACGTTAACTGGTTTCTGATGAGCTCGAGCAGGCTAACAAACACAGCTAGCTGATGATTACAGCTCTTATGACAATGTGTTTCTTTGCGAGTGCACAGCAGACGCATGCTTAGCAGGATATAGAAGTATGCTAGGATGTTCAAAAATGTGTTCGGTTCAGGATTTCTGGTGAGGACCGCTCATGTCATTTTGACATGGGTTATAACGCTGATTCTCTTCCTACACGACACCGGTAAGTGCTCGTTATAGACGCTTAATGTGCTATGAGAGCATGTGTTAGTCTCCATTCAAAGCATGTTATTTAATGGACGCTGAATGATAATGAATGAGATGAAGATGCTTCACACACCTGTTTCTGCATCTCTGAGTGTTTGACTCAAGTGTACTGCTGCTTTTACCTGTCATTTGTTATACTCTTATTACACACTCTGTCCAACTGGTTTACAGCATAGTCTACTGGACAGAATATCTTTCTACTCTATACATTTTGCTGGACTACACAGTGATGTGTTATGAAGTGTGTGTTTTCCCCTGCTCTTCTACATAGTTATTCTAATACAGTTACATACTGTAACAGTGCTCTGACTGCTACACTGTTGCATGATATGAGTCCACCATGCTTTATTCTACTTTCCACATTTACTGCTCTATATCCCAGTCTGCAACATTATATATCGCTTTACTTCTACTTAATAATAATAATACTAATAATGATGTTTTGGTACATTATAATAACTAGATTATTATAATGACTATTAGATTATAACTTTTCTGCAAAAACAAAATGAAATTACGGTGACTCGGAGAGCTCCAAAGCGCTGCAAGCTAAGAAAATACATGCAGATAGAAAAACAATAATAGAGAAAACATCATCGATCCACTTAAGCCGTGATGTATGAAATACTGTTTCCAGCTCCAAGCTGCTATTTACCTAAATTTAGAAAATGGTAGTTCATGACCACTTTGTAGTCAAATTACACACAAAAGAGATTTTCTTACAAAATCATGATGTACATCAGTGTTTCTCGACCATGTTGCTTGAGGACCACCAGCAATGCATATTTTGGATGTCTCCTTTGTCTGTTACACCCATTACAGGTCTTTCATTCTCTGCTAATGAGTTGATCTGAATCAGGTGTGTTTGGTTAAGGAGACATGGAAAATGTGCAAAGCTGGTGGTATTTGTATTGGTATTTATTGGTATTTATTAAGCCTTCCCATACAATTTGATAAATCAGTGACATCACACTTAATTGAATTTGACTACACATGGACATGCAAATTTATAAAACGCATACAAATAGCACAGACCACAATGGAAATGGTTTGGTGGACCACAAAAAGTAACAAAGCTGGTTGCTACATTAAAGAGGAAGCAGTTGCTGCTGGTTTATTTGCACCTCTTAAAGCACAGGTGTCAAACTCAGTTCCAAAAGGGCCGCAGCTCTGCACAGTTTAGTTCCAACCCTAATTGAACACACCTGATCAAACTAATTGAGTCCTTCAGGCTTGTTTGAAACCTACAATTGAGTTTTACACCCCTGTCTTAAAGGGATAGTTCAACCAAAATAAATAAATAAATAAATAAATAAAAAATTAATAGAAATTGACTCAGTGTTTCCAAACCTTTATGATTTTCTTTTTTCTGAAGAAGAGTTTTTTAGAAAGCAGAAAAGCTGCAACGATTGACTTCCATAGTAGGAAAAACAAATACTGTGGAGCATACTTCAAAATTGATTTTTTTGATGTTCAACAGATATAATTTTCAGTTTTGGGTGAACTATCCCTTTAACTCAAACCAGGTTTAGGAGTTCCCTCAATCAGTGTACATAAATCACAATTATGAAAAGAAAAGTTTAAATTATGATGACAGATCAATTTATGAAAAAAAGAAATAAAATAAAAATCAATGACACGAAAATTATGATATCTCAGGCCATTTTATTGAAGACCAAAAGGCATAGCTTTGTTAAAATGTAAAAAAAATAAATAAAAAAAATAAAAACACACACACACACACACACACACACACACACACACACACACACATATATATATATATATATATATATATATATATATATATATATATATATATATATAAATTAATAATTATAGATAAAACTATTAGCAATAATATGTCAATGAGTGGTCTATAAAGGGTTAAATATTTTCAGCCATTTAGTGTGATGCTATGTACTTAAAAATAATGTTGTTGTTTTTTTATTGGCATCAGTGGTTCCATGAGGAGCCTTTTTAGTCCATGAAACCTTACATTCCACCTAAGGTTCTTTAAAGTTGCAAAATGTTAATGAGTAAAAGTTTGACTTTTTGCTTGTTTTTTTTTAAGTGCCAATTCATGAAGTGTAAAAAGCCTCAGGATCAGAGATTTTATTCTCACTAGATTCAATCCTCGAGTAATATAATTATTGTATTTGTTCTCCATTCTAACTTCTTTTACTTCTGTTCTACAATGATGATTCACTCCACTTCTCTACTGTGCTTTTTCCCCCACTGTACTATTGATTGTTCCGTAATACTGTGATGTTCTTCTTGCACACAGACCTGCGCCGGCAGGAGGAGACTGGGGAGCTCACACTGCCGGTTCTCTTTGTGCTGCTGGTTCTGGTGTCTGTGTTGCTGTACTTTGCGGTCTCACTCATGGATCCTGGTTTTGTCCTGACTGATGACTGTGACTTGCAGGTCAGTAAATAAATTTAAACTTTTTTTGTCAGCCAAGCCTGAAATACCTCAAATATTTACTTGAAGTACCTCTGTAATCCCTGATCTTCCATAGACAGCATGGTTCCCGACTTGTTCAGAGTCGAGAAAGGTACAAAACCCATTCTCAAATCAGACCATATGCCTTTAGTGGTTTAATCTTTGTATTGTTAAGGGAAGAAAATATTTTTCTTTAAGGGCACACAAAAGTTCCTGTCCTCAGTGTCAGTATAGGGCACACCACGTTATTGAGCACTGATGTCCGTGTGTTACTTCCTCTGTTTGAAAAGAAGCACAGGTGCATCCGAGGAATAGTAGGTCAGCAGCAAACGCACAGACCACATCACTCTCATGAACGTGCACCCTATACTAACACCGAGGAGAATAAACTGTTGAATAGTGTCCTTATTTTTGTTTTATGTGCATACAAAAGTATTCTTGCACCTTGACAACATTCCAAATGAACCACTGAAGGCACATTGTCTGTTTTGAGGATGTTTTTGGGTACAGTCAGGATCCTTGCTTTCTATGGAGGATGAGGGAGCTCTCAGATCTAAAATGTCTTGATTTGAGTTCTGAAGATGAACGAAGGTCTAGGGGTTTGGAACAACATGAGTAATTCAATAACAGAATGTTCATCTTGAGTGGACTAACCCTTTAACAGCAGGTTTCCAGAATGCTGACAATTGGTTAGATATTTCTAGTTAATCTACACAGATAGATAGACAATAGCCGCTTTCACACAGTGATACCGGTAAATATCCGGAAAATTTCCGGAACGACTTTACCGGTAAATTCAAAAAAGCGCTGTTCACACAGGCGAGGACGTTACGGAATTTTTCCGGAAAAGAGCATTCACACATCCGTTGCAAAATGCCGTTAAATTCTGACATCATTAACCAGAAATGACCTCTAAACGGCTGCGCTTGTGTTTGTAAACATTTGACTACATTACAAACTCTTCGGATGGATCAGTATTGAGTACAACTCCAATGAAAACATAGAGAAACACTTTCACATGTCGAGATGTTCTTGATATGTGTGTGTGCTGGCGCTATGGGCACTCACGGGCACACGCAAAGCTTGAAGGTAAACAAACAACGGATTATCATAAAAATTTTAGCGATAATTATTTACACAGTTAGCATTGAGAAGGAACATAGAAACGTTATCTGACTAACATCTAGCAGCTAAAGGTGTCTGGAAAAAGATTCAAAGGCTTTTATTCTCATAAACCGCGCGCACGTGAATGCGTCTGACTGTTCTAATTGGCTAAAGCAGGTGTCTCACGTCAGCACGTTCTAGACGTGGATGCGCTCTTTCCGGCTATCTTCCTTCTGCATTCACACAGCGCAGTATTCCGGCAAATTGCCGGTAATGTTACAACTTTTCTTTCCGGAAAATAGCCAGAACGAATTTACCGGTATTTTCAAAAAGGGCATGTTCACACATACAACCTTTCCGGAAAATTGCCGGTAATTTTCCGGAAAGGTCTGTATGTGTGAAAGGGGTTATTGATCTTCTGTGCTAATAGAAATATAGACCTCATAACCATTTTAACCAATGGATTTTAGAGGTTTAAATCTGGAGAGTAAGATTTTAGAGTATCAAACATGCGTCACCTGACTGTTTTTCAGTTCACACTTGGTATCGCAGAAGAAACACAGGATATGATTCCACAGACCACCAAATCCATACGACTGCGGCGCTGTGGACACTGTCTGGTGCAGGTGAGCTGTTTTAGTATATTATAGACATATCATTTAGACCTTTTTGAGGGATGTAAACAAAATCAATGGTCCCGAAGTATTTCCTGATTAACATTTGTAATTCCTATAGCTTCTGAGAATCCAAAAAAGGCAACATATTGATAAATAATGTTATGATAATAGTTTGAACATTAAATTATGATGGAGTTGCCTCTTGTTACAGTTATGAAATAATTTGATAACAAGCTGGAAATGTTCGTGGGCCAATGACGTGACCACATTGAAATGGTCTATATATTAGTTTATATAATTTTACTAAAAAGACCTTAGTTTAATTCAAATATTTAACAGCATGCTGCAATAAAAAAAAATTCTAGAGACATAAAATGAAACTGAATATAGCTTTTTGCCAGTAATGTTACGTCAGTTAATATAGATTAGTTCATCAAATTTGGTTAATGAACAAGTGTTAGGTAGAGAAGTTTAAAATGAATGCTCACTTTGACACAGCAACCGATGAGATCGAAACACTGCCAGACGTGTCAGCACTGTGTGCGTCGCTATGATCACCACTGCCCCTGGATCGAGAACTGCGTCGGGGAGAGGAACCATCGCTGGTTTGTGCTTTATCTGGCCGTCCAGTTTGTGGTCTTGCTGTGGGGACTGTACATGGCTTGGTGAGCAACATTTATATGCAACTTACATTTGATCAAAATTAATATTCAGAAAAGATGCACTCTTTAGAGAGGACGGTTAAAGAGATTGATCAAAAACATGACTCGCTATCAAGTGATTCCAAACCTTTGTAAATTTATTTTCCCCATTGAACACATAAGAAGATACTTTAAAGAATGTTGCAAACTTCTAGCCATTGATTTAAAGAAAAGCCTACCGATTTCAACATTCTTCAAAATATCTTCTTTTGTGTTCAACATCTCAAATAGGTTTGGAACAACTTGAGGTAAGTAAATGAAGACAATTGTAAATTTGGGGTGACCTATCGCTTTAAAACTCTGACACAGGTCAGGCTTCAGTCACGCCTCCACCTGGCAGCAGTGGTTGAGGACTAACGGTGTTCTCCTGGGAGCAGCAGCAGTGGTTGCCATTTTGGCCCTCACCGTGCTCCTCCTCCTGGGCTCGCACCTCTACCTGGTGTCCTTAAACACCACCACATGGGAGTTCATGTCCCGACACAGAATCTCATACCTCAAGCACTGCGGTGCAGACGAAAACCCTTTTGACAAAGGAATCCTGCGCAATCTCTGGGGCTTCTTCTGCGCTTGGGAACCGGTGGTTTGGGAGCACGTTTACTTCAAGCAGGGCAATGATCCCATTTGATTCCCTGGGTGTCGTGATGTCCCTGACGTATAACCAATAAGACGGAAGTTGATATTTTATTAGCGGGAAACTTCTTTAAACTTTGCAGGACGTCTACTTCGGTTTCCTTGTGAATGATCCATTTGGAAAGTGTTTCTTAAATGCATGAACTTTGTAGTTGCGATGATGTGATGATCAAGTGTTATCAAATGATGAGTGTTTTTATAAAAGGTGTTTTGCGAATTCTTTACCAGTACTTTGACAATTGTGCTGATTTTTGCACATTTTTAAAGCAAACACAGAACAAAAAGCACAAGAAAAAATAAATCACAACAGTTTTTTGGAGCTGTATTGTGGTTTCCAGTTAATGCAATACATTAAGATATGTGAAACTCGTGCGTATGTATTAATTAAGCTCTCTTACATGGTTCTACAAAGCTGCTGTACAAACTAGAACTATCTTCATTTATAGCAGCAACAAATCATGTTGTACAGTTACATCAGCAATGACTTTGTGCAATTATTGGATTTGTGAAATTTTTACAGATTTGTTTTTTAGAATATAGATCTCCTCGTATAAGAGACAGGGTAATGAGAAATTGAAGTGAAATAACATCCTCTAGCACTTTATATATATTTGAGTGGTGAGATTTCAATATGCTTGTAATGTGATTTTATATGATTAAATGTACCATAATCTGTAAACTAGACATGACAAATCAACAAATTAAAATACTTTTTATAGGGTACATTTCCATGACACTTAAGACTTGGCAGTATGACTGTATATATACACATTGTTACTGAAGAAATAAAGTCTTATCATAAAATGCTTAATCACATGCTTAGAGAAAAGGATTGACTCATTAAAAACAAATTAAATATCGCTGCCAAGCAGCCTCCCGCTGGGTCATAATGCCTGGCCCATGTGGTCTTAACTTTATTCAAGGGTTGCAGTGTTACACTAATAAATATTTATGAAAAGGATAGATCTATCCAAGTATATAACGCATCAACTCGGGTTATAACAGATCAATTGGCATCAATCACAAGTTTGATTTTACTTTATTGTGAAAATCTATAACTTAAAAGGATTACAAATGTCAAACCTGACTCTGTAAATTAAGACTTCTCAAAAATACACTAACCTAAAAAAAATTACCGTTAAAAAATAAATAAGTAATAACCTTTTTTGAGGTTTTGGAATAACTACCTATTAAAAGAGTTATATTGTAAAATAAAGTGAATAAAACAAATTATGTCACCATTAATCTCGGAAAACACATTTCTAAAAGGTGCTGTTGACCTGAAATTTTCCCCAGATGAGAATAACAAATAAAATGACATGGAAAAGAGAAGTATTGAACACATGAAGGAAGGCAGGTGTAAAAGGCATGGAAAGCCCAGACAGCAGCTGAAATCGCTGAGTAGCTGAGTAGTTAATTAGCAGTTCTGCCCCTTGTCAATGTAAATGAATATTAGCGGTTTCAGTTCAACACCTACATTAGCAGATGAGGAAGATGAAACCAGGGTGGACATTAGGACTGTGCGATATGGGCAAAAGAAACCCATCATGATTTTCTTGAACAATATTGCGATTTTAATCACGATTTTGTCTCAGACAGACTAAATCTATGTTTACAGTGTGAATCTGAAACATATTTCAAAAGAAAAACAATTGGATCTTTATCAAAGACCTGTAAAATGTCTCTAAAACAGACATAAAATAAAATTCTCCCCATACATAAAACCCGTTACAGAGCAATGCAGCAATGTTTTGTTAGTTTGTCATCCTCTGAGAAAACGGTTGATGGTCACCGAGCAACGTCAGAGGGGCACCTGCAAAGCATGTTGAACTTGACTTATTGCGCTTTTAGATGCAATTTATGACGGACTTACAAATGGTTCTGCCATACATCAGCCTTCCTGTATCCAAAGTAACTTAATCCCATACCACAGACATTGGCTATTTGCACGCTGCGTTATGATCGGTTCAAATAGCATACTGCAGGAAAATTGTGCTGTAAGGTGATTTAGAAATTGCGCATGTCCAAATCACGGGTTCGATACGATTTCAATGAAATCACACATCCTTAGTGGACATTTCAGCAAAACAATAATCTCAAACATCTCCAAAAAGAGAAAATAAAGCTGCTAGAATGGCCCAAACAATAATATGATCTGAATCTGGAGTTCTTAGACTAGACTCACAGAATCAAGACTCTGAAGCATGGTACATATTCATGTCAACAGCTCCTTAAGATATATATATATATATATATATATATATATATATATATATATATATATATATATATATATATATATATATATATATGTGTGTGTGTGTGTGTGTGTGTGACATTTAATACATAGTTTACTTGTTATATATTGTAACTGTGAAATATAATAAAATAAATAATAGGCCCAGCCCTAACACTCACACAAACATGCGTTAACAATAGTGATTTTAAATTTAGGCAAATAACTAATGTAGAGTCATGCATATTTGCAGACGCTCAGTGTTTCTTTGCAAAGAATAGTATCACTAGCCACTGGCCTATGTGACTGTTGCCAACCGAACGAAAAACTCTAAATTCCCAAAGTAAAAACTTGTACATAGGTGTTGTGTAAATGTACCCTTAGAATATGAACATAATCCGTGCAGTAATGTTCAACATTACAGATATAACATATTGTGTAAACATGGCCTTTCCTATTTCACATCAGCAGGAGTAAATGCATGTGACATTCCTTTGACTGTTAGACTAAGGTCCATTTTTGACTGTCAGAACAGAGCAAAGTAAGACATTTACAGATAAATGCAGTACAACGAAAACCACAAAGTGTGATTTTCTTCAGTCAATAAGATTAAAAATCAGCAATAATAGTTTCAGCTTTGGCTTGATTTCAGTTTGCTTCTTTTTGCACTTGTGTGTTTTTAAATGTACTATCATTAATGCAAGGATTTCCTGAACGATCTGCTCCATTTTGATCAAAGTTATGCAATTGATTTTTCCTCCATGTATATTTTGAAATATCAGTATTCAATAAACTAAACAACATGGTCACGTTGTATTTTATTTCTGAAAATACATTCATCCCCTTCAGTTCCATAGATATTTATTTATCCTTCATGTAGCTCATAGAAATGGAAAGTTTCCTTTAAATAGATTTTTTAGTGTCATTTTGTTCACAGTGTACATTATCAGTAGTAAACCACATTAACAATGATAGGATGGTGTTCTGATGGCGGTCGTCGAAAGTAAAACACAGACAAACACGTTAAATAACAAATCAGCTTCTATGATACATGATGCGTTTGGACTTCTTAAGTGACTGAATGTGCTAACCGTATCATGCTAAGACATTAAGTAGAATATGCTTAGTCTAATTCAACAGTCCTAGATTAGTCCAGAGGAGGGCTTTAAAGAGAAAGTCGTCGCTAAAAGTCACAAGACGTCTGTAAGTACAGTGGAAAGTTGAGAACAAGTCCCAAAAAAAAAAAATAAATTCAAGGAGCAACGTCTATCTGGGGCACCAATCCTAAATCAAATCCAGATTAGGGACAGCCAGAGATCAAAATGTGAGGCTTTAACATGAACGTACATCGCATAGACTGAGCGTGGAGGAATTTGCATTAGCACACACTTCGACAGTTACAATCGGGAAGTTAAGGAGCTTAAGATGTATCACTCAGATCAGCGCGACATCAGAAATCCTTAAAAACAACCAAAGCAGACAGCACAACCGTCTCAATCTGACAATCATTATCTGTTCGGCGACAGTGCAAGTATATTTTGGCATCAAAGTTCAGTGTAACAGGAAGACTTCTCTATTTTACAGCTGGTCAGAGCGAAAATCAACACTGGTGTTTCTGCACGCCATAAGCAGTGGAACCCCAAAATATCACTTATTACTGCATGTGTGAATGCCAAGGGTGGGCAGTTTAAAAGCTGAGCAGATTTGAGTTTACTCACAGTGCTGATCGTATGGTTTCCTCTTGGTTTTAACGTCCGGTCTGGACCGTCTTTGGAGCGCAAGCGCACATGTGCAGCCAGATTCACAAGCAGCAGCTTTTAAAGGGTGAGACGGGGCCAGCTTCACTTGATTTGACTGCGCAACTCAAGTGACAGAATATCTGGACGAAGAAGACAGAGAGAAAAAGGAAGAAGAGATTTGATATGTCACAACCCCATCCGAGTGTAATGGAGCGGAAGTCAGTGCAGGGCAGAGAAGTCGAAGTCCGCAAAGAACTCCTGCTGCTCGGCGCTAAGGAAGAACGGCGTCTGTGGAGGAGTCAGGACAGGCTTGAGGCGTGTGAACTCCTCGTCAAAGTTACTGACGTCCGCTGCTGTTTTAATTGACGGCAGGAATGGAGGTTTGACTCTTTTGGCCAGCAGAGCCTCCCAGTCAATGCCCTGAGGAGAGGAACTATTTTTTTAGAAAAGAAGAGAAGCTTCACAAAAAGTGGACAAAAATGACTGTTAGTGACGGTCACCTGGAAAAAACGGTGTTTCTTGACTTCGTTGGCATCTTGCTCTCCTGCCCCCAGTCGTTTTTCAGAGTTCTTCTGCAGCAGCTGCCATTAACAGCGATAGAGAGTCAGACTGAATTTAATTTGCTTACTTCATTGAGAAGGATGAGCTGTTACCTTTTGGATAACGGAGACTGACTCTGGAGACATAAACCTGGGGTAGCGCACTTCATCATTCACTATGCTGTCAAACACCTCCTCTTCATCATCACCAGGGAATGGAGACTGGCGGCCATAAGAGGATACACACAAACACTACTGTTCAAAAGTGTGGGGTTGCCTTTTCTGTTTGTTTGCTTTTGAACGGAGATCAAAACTCTCTTGATGTTTTGACATACAGGATGTTTTTATAGTGCAATAACCCATTACATTACCCATTTCAGATCTCAAACTTGCTTAATTTATTATTGGCTTATATTGAAGAGCAATTCTAGAGTTATGGATGTGACATTTGCAGTAAAAACGTAAAACATAAATTCATAGAGCATTTCAAAGAGAGAAGCATGTTAACAGTATACTAAAACATCGGTTTACATTTTCATGTTTACAAAAAAAAAACAGTCTTAAAATATTGATCTGTATTGATGTTTTTATATATATATATATATATATATATATATATATATATATATATATATATATATATATATATATATATATATATATATATTTATTTTTTTTTTTAAATAAAAAAATTTGTTTTTAATAAAAAATTAATAAAATTATTAGTTTTTTTATATGAAAAATATGCATTATGAAAATGTATCCAGAAAATTTATGCAATTTTATAACAGACATGACTACCTTTCTGCAGATTTCAGTTGCAATGCAGTAGCTATGTTTCCATCCAAAAAATGCTAATTAACTTCATGCACAAGACTAGATTATCGCATAAAAGATGTGCAAATAAAGCAATGTACAATCACCAACAATCCATCTCATTAAAACTTTATTTTAAAATAGCATTTAATTACTGACCTTAAAGCAACATTTGCTTAAAAGTTCTCCATTTATTTACTGCTGAGGATACTGACCTGGCCTACATTTTTTTTTAATTAAATTATTATTATTGTAAATTGAAGTAATTGACAGCGATTTTTTCTTCTATTCTTGGTAAGGGTTATAGTGTTTGTGAATAAATATACTTGATAATTAATAAAACAAATTCAAACAAAACTATTATTGTATTATTAAACGCATTAAATTTTTAATAAAATTTGATAGGTCATATGAAAATCTTTTCAAACTGGGATATTCGAAAAAAAAATCCAAAGTATTTAGCCTTGCACAAGTCTAAAATTTTATAACAAATTTTTTTTTATATAAAAAATAGGTTCACAAACACCTTTTAATAGACAGGACAGTAGAAAGTATCAACAGGTAAGTGTGGGGAGCTGAAAGAGAGGGGTAAGAAGTGCCACCCACTTGTGATTAGATTGCCAAAAACACAGATCATGATAGCATATAGAAACGGGCAAAATTGTTGATACCTTTTCACTGAAGGGAGAGAAACAACATGAGATATTGCTTTGGAATTGTGGTTCAACCGAAGTTTATAAAAGGCTAACTAATAAAGCTGGTCTGGAGTAAATTGAAGGGTACCAACAATTTTGTCCATTTCTGTATAAGCGGGGTCTTACAGTGATGCTGCTGTAGTAAGAGTCTGAGCAGCAAGACTGACCTCTCCAACGAGCATCTCATAGATGAGCACACCCAGACCCCACCAGTCCACTGCACGGGTGTAATTGCTGTCTGTCAAAACCTCTGGAGCCAGAAACTCTGGGGTGCCACAAAAGGTTGATGTACGATCTCCATATCCCATACCTGAAGGATAGCAGCATTTCAGCAATTCAGCATTACATTTTTTTCAGAGAAAAAAAGTTTTCAAATGTCCAAACCTTCTTTGCAAAGTCCAAAATCTGCAATTCTCACAAAGCCATCAGAGTCCATTAACAGATTATCCAGCTTAAGATCCCTAAAATGAGGAAAGAGTAAAAGTATGAGCCAACATGCATGATTTCACACATGCATAGGGGCTGGGTGTGTGATATTCATCATCTATGATAATACCAGAAATCTTCAAACTGACTGTATAATGTTTTACAGTAACTCTGTCTAAAAAGCAATTGAAGATACAGTGATAAAGACTATTGGAATAACACTTTAATTTGAGTTATGAAAGCTAAATACATCTATAGATGATAATGCTAAATAATAGTAGGCAAGCAAGAATTTAATTTCCCTGAATTCTAACGCGAGGGGAATCACAAATGTGATACTGATTTCATTACCACAGTTTAAAAAATAAAAGCAAGTCCATTGAGCATAGTATACTATGACCAGGGATACAATCAGCCAGTGCAGTCATTCCTTCATAGTAAAAAGCGTCATTTTGTATCTGCCGGTTTGTTTACTTGTGGGACTTCCATTGGCATTTTTCCGCACGTTAATTCTGACCAACTGAAAAGCAGTTTAAGAAATGCATTCAATAATATCTGGCCAATGAGTGATATGGGTTTTGTCACATGGCTGCATTTTGGTTCTTTTCAACTGGTTCGGAACAAAGCAATCAGTGTGCAAAAAGGACCCAAAAATGGCAGAAAATGCTACAATGTATCATTTGTTGCTCTTGGTCCGGACCAAATGAACTGAACTACAGATGTGAGAGCACCCTTAATTTGATTTCTGTTTAGTTCGATTATGCTGCATTACTCAAAAAAAAAAAAAATAAATAAAATAAAAAATGCTGTTTACATGGTAGACTCTTAATCAGAGTATTGTTTTAATCACATTTAAATTGGTGTCCATGTTAGCATACTCAGTGTTCGTCTCAGCGCAACGCTGAATCAAATTATGCAATCACTGAATCCATCCACTAAGACACTCACTTGCTTCATTTCTAAAATAAAACAAGGCAGGCTTGCCACCATTATCTTTTTCATTTATCATTTTCATCGACTCGTATTACAGCAACTTTTCTCTTTTTCAGCAGCTGAAAATTCAGAGCTGAAAATAACTGGTCGAAACCAGCCTAAGTACAGCACAGAAACACATTCAGTAAAATGTTAATTTACAGTTATAAAAAAAATTTAAAAAAAATAAAGGCAAAAATACAACATATTTTTTTGCAAATATCACAGCCCTATATCACACCCTATATGCATATAATCTGGAAATGTAAAAATAATTACCTATAGACAATCCGGTTTTGGTGCAGAAACTCCAGGCCCAGTAATACACAAGCAGAATAAAACCTGACAGAAGAAAAACCACGGTTTACAGTTACATCCATAGGCACGTGTCACTGCTAAAAATACACAGTGCTAAAAACAGCATGTGCATCTGAGAGCAAATGGAAAAAAGTAGCACTTATGTAAACTTACGTAATTACTTATGTAAATGCTGCGTAATTAAAGTGTGTGTGTGTGTGTGTGTGTGTGTGTGTGTGTGTGTGTGTGTGTACCTGGCCTGGCGTTCAGAGAAGATGTTGTTGTGGATGTGGGTCATCAGGTCTCCTCCAGGAGAATATTCCATCACAAAACACACATGGTCAGGCGTCTGGAAGCAGCCGTACAGGTTCACCAGGAAAGGATGTCGGGACGCATTGATGGTCTCAAAAATCCTCTTTTCACACATTAAACTAGGATTAGAAACAAATGAATTCACTTTATAATGAGAGTCAGAAGTGTTCACTAAAGCAGGGTTTACTGGAACCTACAAACAAAATGATTCTTTTCAAGCAACCCCAATAAATATATATAGAAAAGGCAACCCTAGATCATGTATACAGATTTATAGCACGTGAAAAATGGATGACATAATAATATTATTAAGACAATAAAGTTTCAATTTCATTTTCTTTAAAATTGAAAATAAACAGAAATCTATTAGTACAGCACATTGTAGTAATGTGCAATATTTAAAATAATAACCTCCATATTTTACAGGATTTCTTTAATACAAATAAAGAAAAGTTTGCCAATTTGTGTTTTTATGCTGGTACCCATGCAGTTGAGGCTTGTCATTGATAAATGACACGAAAATTCCCTTGAGTTGTGGCAAGTGATTTACTAAAGGATTCATTTAAACAATAGGTTCAATTTGATTTCTTTAGAAAACAAACAAACAAAAGGAAAATCTACTATGCAAACATCACCTGTCCACTTCATCCCGGGTCACAACATCCCCTTTTTTCAAGGCTTTGATGGCATAAAGTTTCCCAGTCCTCTTGAATTCAGCCAGAAGGACCTTCAGAGAGACACGAATGACACTGAGACATCGGCACTATCCACAATGATTCAATTACAGTACAGAAGGACATCTGCAGGTTTACCTTTCCAAAGTGCCCTCTTCCTAAAACAGAAATGCAGTTAAAGTCCTCCATCTGCATCCCTTCTTGCCTCCTGTGAAACAGGATATAGTTTCAGAGAACATGACAAATAGAGAAAATGGCAAATGATCTGTGACAGACTGATATTCACCACCCTTAAAGCCAGAGTGTACTCTTCGATTGTAAACATATAATGTGCAGCTTGCATGTGTTCTTTTAATGAACTGTTTGCACCAATTAGTTTATCTAGAATGTGTCAGATCTAAAGCAGGCTGCCATTTCTCACAAGGAATAATGCACTAGTCACAGACACGATGACAACATGTTTATAAAACTCCTACAATTTCAGGTAAAACTAATACAAACACATTTGATCACTTACAAAAGATAAAAAAATGAAGTGTTCTTTGCAAGGATGTGTACTTTGGATTAACTTTGCGAAGAAAAAAAATGTAAAGCGAATTTTTAGGGCTTAAGGTTAAGAATATTTTAAAACCTTAAATAATAAAGATCTAATAAATATCATCCGGCCTTACTGAGTTGTAGGCTGGGACGCAGGCCTGGCTTGGAGAACTCGGCGGTCCTCAGTGGAGTTTACTCTGGCAGGAGTCTGGCAGAAAGTCCCAAAACACATAATTACCACTTTAACTCGACCACAGCAATAAAAAGAAACCCTACAAATTAAAAAGCAAGTGTTTGTCCACAAAACAAACCCCAGAAAGTGATTCATCAGCTGAAGGGTTCTGCGCCAAGTGAAGGCGCGGAGGCTTGGTGGGCCGTTCCTCGCTGAAATTCAGTTTAACAACTGCTGAGTCTCTGTGATAAACAGCCACAGCAAACAGACAGAATTACTCTTTAGTCTACACAGATTATTGCCATGAATGCAAAAGCCCAACGTTACAAATAAGTTTCCACATCTGGCTGGACTAAAGCTTTGCATCTCACCCTGTGGAGGGTGGTGTGGACACAGATGGAGGAGACAGCGGCTCTGAGCCAGGCAGCGGAGGGCTGAGGGCCGTAATGGTGCTGTTACAGGGGGGTAACACACTCATCATCAGACGCCCCCAAGTTGCGAAATTCATATTCATCTGTGCTGCCCGTAAGAAATTCTTCCCTGCGAGAAAGAAAACAGAAACAATGTAAGAACTTTGTTTAAAAACATATCTTAACATCGTTTACGTCTGAGGTTATCAACATGCTTACAGTTGCCAATATAATATGCTCAATACGCCAATTCAGTCGACACCAGTCAAAGGCTATTAATATCACTTGCAGATGAGAGCGACAGATAAAATGCATGACCGTTTTGATGGATCAAACTTTGGAGCTTTCATTTAGGTTTACACTTCATTTATGACTGAAACTAATCCATTCAATATAATAATAGTATTATGATAGTAATAATAGTACTAATAATCTATGAGATTGAATAATTTAGCTTTATTGCATGTATTTTCATTCATCAAGAAAATATTATAATAATTTGTGTTTTAATGTGACATTGGTCTCGAAGCATGCGTGATTAAAATCTCTTTTCAGTCCATTAGCAGCGATCTGTTCCTCCTGATTTTTCTTTTTCTTTGCATTATGCTGTATTATGGGGCAGCACGGTGGCCCAGTGGGTTTGTGTGGGTTTCCTCCAGGTGCTCCGGTTTCCCTAAAAGTGTAAAGACATGCACTATAGGTGAATTGAATAAGCTAAATTGCCTGTAGTGTATGTGTGTAAATGCAAGAGGGTATGGGAGTTTCTTAATGTTGGGTTGCAGCTGGAAGGGCATCCGATGCGTAAAACATTTGCTGGATAAGTTGGCGGTTTATACAGATGTGGCGACCCCTGATTAATTAAGAGACTAAGCCAAAAAGAAATTGAATAAATGAGTGCTGTAAAACATATAAAACATTCTGACACAGCACAGTTGTGGAGCACTCTTCTGCTTTTCTCCAAACCGCTTACATCTCTTTCTGGTTTTTCACACAGAGCTTTAAAGCATAATCTTCTCTTTTTCTCTTCTAATTCCTTTAAGCAGTGTTTACTGAAATCATCCTAAAGCTGGGAAATGCAATATTTATCTTTGAGTGCCCTGAATTATCCATCTGTGTTGACAAGTTTTGATCAAAGAATCTTGCATGTATTTTACATCATATACTTATACACAACCATTTTTAAAGATTTACATAACATTGCCTCTGAAATTCCCACTCATCTGAGCTTTAGATGTCATGTATGGTGCCCTTAAGGTCATTTGTTAATACTTTCACACTTTTGTGAAAGTTTGCTGTTGATGTTTGAGGACTTCATCACATTCTTAAAGCGGAACTTTGAACAAATTAATTGACAATTTTTAAGAGATTAATGTTTAATTCTATATATAAAAGCCATTATAAAGCCAAAAACCAATTAGAAGCGTTAAGGGATAAAAGATACAACTGCAAGGCAACTTTAATATACAACTAATATAACAAATTACTCCCAAATCGTTTTTTACAATTTTTGTTTTATTTTAAACAACCAAACGGTCATGTTAAAGAGATAGTTTAAACTCAAATGGTTCCAAAAAAAGATGCAATGTTTAACTGATTTCACTATTAGCTGTGCTTTAATTCGTCACAGTTAATTAATAATAAAGGCCTCTCAACACCACAAGCACAGAACAAAACTGCTGCAAATAGACAAAGTTAAGGCAACTGTGCGCTAGTTTAAAGTTCCAACTGTACATCGAGGCTAATACGCACTCACACTGGATTAACCATGGCTGAGGGTATTAACTAAGGACCATTCACATGTCACGTCTTTTGTGCGCACAAGCTCGTTATTTTTTTTCTTGCATGCATATTGGGGGCGGCGTGCATGCAGTACAACAATTGTCACACTTTCCAGGCGCACCTAGTTAAAAGAATGGGGCAAGCGCACAGCGAGTCACGTGACAAGAACTGACCGTTCAGCTTCATACTTTGTATGGAATATTCACATTTCTACTCCAAAGAGGAAAAATAAAATTAAAATAAAAAATACCAAACAAGTTCATAATATGTTTGATCAAAAGTGCCTTTCAAACAGTAGTTCAGCAGTCTTTGACTACATTTGTTCTCTTTAAAAGGGAAATACTTAGCTAATATGTAGCTTAGATTTACATTAGACAAACAGACATTTTTTATTCTCTGTTCTGTCATTTATTTTCAGTGTTGTACTTATGTTTAAATGCCAAAAACTTTTTTTTTTATTTTTATTTTTTAAGTCAGAAGAGAAATTGACTATTGTTTGTTTTTTATTATTATTTTGTGCTGTAATATTCAGTTACTGAGCAGCAATAAATTCATTTATTTTCTTGTCGGCTTAGTCCCTTTATTAACTCGGGGTCGCCACAGCGGAATGAACCACCAACTTATCTAGCACATTTTTTACACAGCGGATGCCCTTCCAGCCGCAACCCATCTCTGGGAAACATCCACACACACACTCATACATTATGGACAATTTAGCTTACCCAATTCACCTGTACCACATGTCTTTGGACTGTGGTAAATCGGAGCACGCAAACACAGGGAGAACATGCAAACTCCACACAAAAACGCCAACTGAGTCGAGGATCGAACGAGCGACCTTCTTGCTGTGAGGCGACAGCACTACCTACAGCGCCACTGCGTTGCTGCAGCAATAAATAACACTTTAAAATAGGAGTTTTCATGTGATTTTCTAAACTAGTAGTGTTTTGAAATTATTGAATTCATAATAATCGTGATAATTGTGAAAATGATGTTGCTCAGACTATAATCGTACAACCAAAATCTATAATCATTGCATCCCTAGTTCCAAACCTTTATGAGTTTATTTTGCTGTAGTAGGAGAAGTAGCAGACTCTCTGTGAGGATCACACTGGATAAAACATGAAGAGGTCAAGCCCACCTTTTTCTTTAGGGAAAATCCTCTTCTGTCGTTGTAGTTTAGGATGCCGCTCAATGACAGGATTGATGAATCTCACCTGATAGCAAACCACACCATAAACAGCTGTATATGAATTAGGTTTTCAAGCTTTAAGTGAATCTACGAAGTCTAAAAGAAACAGAGAGCAGCTGTACACAGTAAGCACACCACGCATGGTTTGACACTAGGATGAAGGTGTTGAGAGCTTCTCTCACCTCTGTGAACAGTGTGCCCTGCGGCTCCAGATAAAGACACATGCCGTGCCTCTGGTTGTCTAGAAAGTCTTCCAAACGCAGGAACTTCACGGCACACAGGGACCTCCAGTCTCGCCAATACACAGCAATCTCCAGTTCTCGAGACTACAGGAGCCAAAGTTATGCGAGTAGCAAAACAAAATAATAAAATCTGATTAGATATGAATTATACCTCTTAATTGTGCTCAAATTGATTAACATTCAACTTTTAGGTCGGGAAGAAATATTTGCTTATAGAATATATTTCACCACAGTAGGGCTGGGCTATTTGGCCTAAATTCAAAATTTCGATTAATAAAACATTTTTCTATTTATATTTTTTAATAATTATTTTTTGGGGGTTTTCACCTTTATTTTGGATAGGAAAAGTAGAGAGAATTGACAGGAAAGCATTGGAAGCAGAGAGAGGGGAAGGATTGCAAAGGCAAAATCGAACTTGTGTTGCCGTGAGCACCGGAGTGCATGTGTCGACGCACTAACCACAACACCACTGGCGCGGACGATTAATTGAACATTTTAACTCGACTGTGAATAATGAATGATTATTTTATTGATTTATTTTTATATTTTGATTACTTTGATTAATTTCCCAGCCCTACACCACAGTCTTCTTTGATGTATAGACAAAAAAAATTATTAATTCAAGAATTTGAGACAAATCGTTTTTAAATGTTGTTACATTCACTTTCAATTAAATAAATGTGAAAAATAAATTTGATTAGAGGGATAGTCCACCAAAAAACTGTATTTACTCCCCTTTTTTGTGGTTATAAAACTTTATTCTGCCAAACACAAAAGAAGATATTTTGAAGAAAGCCGAAAAGCCGAAAGAAGTAAATCATTACAGTATGGGTCTACTCATCTTTGTTGGAGGAACTGTGGGGTAGAAGAGGCACATCATGTGCATGTATTATGGCAGTGCTCAAGAATGAACAGTTTTTGGGAAACTGTGCAATCTGCCATTAATGATATTTTTGATCTTCATATTCCTAGATCATTTGAAGTACTTTATTTGGGAGATATTCCTATTAAACTTAAAAAAGGAGGAAAGATATGCATTTAAGATATTTTTGGTAACAAGTAAAAAAGCTAGAACCCGGAAATGTTATAGAGAAGAGCCACCAACTAAAGATGAATGGTTCAAAATTATAGCAGAAGTTGAGAAAATGGAGAAAAACGACATGCACTTCGACTACAATTAGAGATTTTTGAAAAGAAATGGAGTAAATAGCTGGCTTTCTCCACAACGACAATATAATTATCTATAACTGAACATTTACATAATTCTAAAGGTTATGCATCACTGTTGGAATATGTATGGCAAACTTTTATTACATTTTATTTGTTAATAATTTTATTTAATTATTCTTTAGATTAGGTTATTTAATATCTTTATATATGTATGTATGTATATAGATATACATGCATGGAATGGATGTATTTGTGTATACGGTATATGCATGTATGCATTTATGTATTATTATTTTTTGTTTGCTGGTTTGTTTGTTTTGTTTCCACTGGTTATATATTCCTAAATAATCAATAAAAACTAAGTATAAAAAAAGAAAAAACAAATACTATGAAAAAAAATTGGTTACAGATTGCTTCAAAATATGTTAAATTTGTGTTCGACAGAAGAGAGAAAAAGGGTTGGAAGAACAAAAGAGTGGATAAACAACAGAATTTTAAGTTTGGTGTGAACTATCCCTTTAAATAATGTGCACAGTAGTAGTGAGAAGTCAGAAAAGCAACCTGAAATCAAAAATGATCAAAGCCTCCAGCACAGATACAGCAAACTGCTTCCCCATTCATCAAACAGATGTGAAGGCCAGGCTTTGTCAGACAAACTGCAACACTATTTCAGAAATAATGAAATAAGTTCTCATTCTCTGCCGGGACAGCTGAATCAGCTTGGAAAAAGATGCGGTTTGACTTGGCCAGGATTCACACTGACTGTCTGTGTCCAAGGGGTGAGCAAAAGATTACAGTAATGTTGAAGGATTAGTCTGGATTACTCTGGACGTGCCTGATTGCACTATGGAAGTTAAGCTGCATTAAGGAAGGTGAGGAAAAGCCTTCAGCCGATGACCATCATGGGCACTTTCCATAAAACAGATGTGGCAAGTGTTGCCTGGGATGATTGACAGCTGTGAATTGCATGCTGTAAAAGCACTCAGGACTTTGACATTATGCCATGCATTAAGGGTGAGCTCCTTAACTGAATTCAAAACTCTTATTTATTTACTAGATGCGTCTATGAAATATGCAGTAGAATTTGCTGGCACTGACCCGCTCCAGTTCGATGCTAAAGCTTTGGTTCCAGGCATCCTTACTCAGCGGCCGCCAATGTGTGCGACCAACAATCTTGTTATCCACTTTCAACACAGCACTGATTTCAGCTGAGAGACAAAAAAAATGAAGCATCATACTTATAAAACCACTTGAATTTTTTTCAAAACTATTTCCATAAAATTGTTTGATTCCCAAGAACAAAGTAAAAATAAAATCAATCAAAAGACATAAAAAAAAAACATCATTTGTGAAGGTATTTTCTGTGATGCGCATCTCAGTGCTTCTTGATTGAAAAAGTTGAATATTGCTTAATAAAGCTATTACTATAATTTAGGCCCTTGTTTATATAATACACTTTTGGTAACTTGGTCATAAGTGGGCTATGATAAGTTCAGGTGTAAACAGGATCTGTAACATACTGAGATTTAACCACTTTCAAATTTCACAGAAGAGATATTTTTTCAAGTGGTTAGTTGTTTTTAGTGGTGTAACCGATCACAAAATCTCACATTGGAGTGAAATGTAATTTGCTTTCCATTTATTACAAAAGCAGCACTGCAGGAAACTTTTGGTTTCAACAAACAGAACTTGGAACCTGTAATTTTATTAAAAATATAATGAAGAAATAATCAGCTAATAAAAAAAAAATTTCTAACAATATAGTTTGAACAATTCCAATTTTTTATTAGTCTCATTGTCAATAAATGATTCAGTTATTCACTCATAAAACTTCACGTTTCATTGCTGGATGGATCATTTTTGAAGAATTATTCAGTGGCATATTTTTGATGACTGGTTTTGATATTAGGTAAATAATGTAAATGCTGCAAACAACTTTCATTTTTGAGCATCATTAGATGCATATGAAGATGATTTTGATCTTTACCATAAACATCAGTGGTTTTATCTAAACTATAAAATGCTATCCTAGTACTGCTGTGTTATTTGAGCATTTGTAACTAACTAACCAACTCAAAACACTAAAGACTGAATCTCTTTTTGGATTTTTACGGTTTCAGATTTGAATGCAGCGATTCGAAGAATTAATAACTGTATGCAAATCATCATCATTTATCATTTATGTTGCTTGGGTGTTGAGATCCTAATCGTTTGATGATTATTCAAATGGCTTACACTGAATACATTAATGCAGGCTAAACTAGTAACAGAAAAACACTTTTAATGACACCCACCACATTCCGAATAACCCACCTTCTGTCATCATTATATTTTACAGGAAAGCATAAATTCTTTCATACATTTGATGTAAATGACTCAAGAGGAGATCTGCATCTGTGAAAGTTACAAATTCAAGATTAATCTAAATTGAAGTAAAAAAAAAAAAAAAAGTATTAATCCGAGGGCCACTTGTGTTCCAAACTGTGGGTTGTGTTCTGTACGAATCACAGATCAACTGTGATCGGTTACACCCCTAGTTATTTTGATTAGAAAAAAAAAAAGTGCATGTGAATAAAAAAAAGATAAATTGAATGGCTTTATAATAATTACTGCAGTAACATTTGTTTTATCCATTTTAAAAATGTATTTGGACAACAAAATAAAAGTTTTCAACAGTTTTTTTTTTTAACTATTATTATGAAATCTATTATTTTTCACCCTGCTGCCCGTGAGAAACTCACATGACAGTTCATCAGTCTTGGTGGTCTTGCCGTTGGTGCTGCGAGTGGAAAGGCCGGTTCTCATTCTTAGTGATTTGGAGTCAGATGGACTTCCAGGAGCGGAGGACATGTTGCTTACACGACAGCGGCCTGGAACTGACTCCAGCAGGTCCTGACAACCCATCAACCTGACCTCCAATCGCCCTGAAAACAAATGCACGCACAATTATACACAATCCAACAGCCATACACAACACAAAAACGCGTTAACAAAACAACATGCACAAACATCACACACAGATTAGTTACATTTATTCATCACCACTGTATTAAAATATACAAAAATGCGGCTGATGCAGATACCTTTCCGATACAACAATTTCAATACTTCTGATAATCTGGGCTGAAAAAAATATATAACTAATAATAATACATCACGTGTATTAAATATAATCAACTACACCTACTAAAAAAACAACAGCTAATGAAAAACCAAATCATAATTTGTGCTGATGTGAACTTGAATAATCATCTGTATCTCACACTAAAAATGGCTTTGTACAACATTTGTAATTTAGTGAATAAAAATGCAATGATGCCTTATAATAGCTTGATGGGTTTTATGGGGCTTAACAATATCACAGAATAGTATGCGAGCAGTATAGGATTTGGATCAGTCCCCTCTGGTCAATAACTGATATGGCAAAGTTGTGGCATCAAAGCAGGTATCCAATCTGAGTGTTGGATTGGCACATGTCTACCATTTCATTGATAGGTTGATTCATAGGTATATGGATGGAGTGAAGAGATAGTGATAGATCAAATTTAGTAGTAGGGGGTGGTTGGGAGGCCATCACTATCGGCTTATGGAGGAAATTTGGCAAGGACACCAGAAATTTAACTCTGCTCTTTACAAGAAGTCCCGCTGGATTTTTTTAAATGACCAAAAAGTGTCAGGACCTTGATTTTAAGGTCCTGTGAAGTGCTTTGAAATATGCATTTTTATTCTATGTTAGACATAATCTCAACCGAAACACAAAGAGACAGAGGGAAATAGTGTAGCTTCTCCCCTTTTTAAAAAATAGCCAATAGTGTTTAATTTTAATTACCACCGCTTCTGCCAGTGAGATTGGTTGAGCTCAAGCACATCAAATGAAAAGCAAACATCACAGACAAGCGTCTTGAAGGGGGTGGGGCATGTCAGATACTAAAGAGCATTAAATTGGTTATGATTTGATAAGAATCCTAAATATGAGGTGATCTGAATAAAACTGTTGATTTATTTAGGTGGAATTGACAAATACAAGCTTTACATGTTTATATCCGTTCCTTATCTTCTAAATGTGAATTGTCACAGTTTTGGTGCACACTAGCTTATAGATATCTTAAACTAACAATACTGATACTAAAATCTAAACAATTTTATTTCATGAGACCTCTGACAGTATAGTGTCCCTGTCACTGTATTGGGGCATTAGGACCCACACAGACCAGAGGTTGAGCACCCCGTGCTGGCCTCACTAATGCCACAACAGTGGTCTCTCATCCAGGTACTAACCAGGCTGAGCCCTGCTTAGCTTCAATGAGCAACCGAACGTGGTCTGCAGGGTGATAAGGCTGTGGCCACTTGCTTAATTTTATTGTTGAAACAAATATATATTTTTGTTTGGCTCATTTAATGAATAACAAAGCTTTTTTTTTTTAAAAAACACACATTTTGCAATAATTAAAATTACTGTACTATTTCATTGACTTAACATATCTTTATTAAAAAAATTAACAATAGTATTTCTTTAAATATAGTCAACATTTCATTCAAAACACTGAAATTTCACAAATACAATACGAGACAATACGATGCCAAAGAAGCCATGTAGAACAGCTTTTAAATAAAACCCACACACCAAATAGGAGAGAGATAAACAGAGTATGGTTTAGGCCAGGGGTGTCATTGATGGTGCTTCTCTACTGCAACATACACCACCTAAACTAAACGTCTTTTATGGATGGTAACTCTGCACCACTGCTGGAAGGCCTTATTCACCTGATACATCACACACTGTGATGCAGTTTAGTATGCTCTTAATGCCGGAGTTAAGACTCTCAACAGGGTCTTCAGTCTTACCAGCAAGACTCTACTTGCTAATTTATGGTGAAATATCATTTAGCCACTATAACATTCCTTCTAAATCTGTGTCAGTACCTGTCAGGCTGGCTGGTTTAAAGAGAGAAGAGGATGCTGAAGATGAAGAGCGCAGGCGTTCCCTTTGCAACCCAATACCAGGAGAGGAACCTACTGTCAGCTCTTCTTTAATGGCAGCTCGTTTGGGATGGTCTTGGGGAAGTTCTCCAAGCTGCTGCTCCAGAGACAAACGCAACAGGTCCAGTTTTTGAGAGGATTCCTGCAAACGGGCCTGAGCCTGGACAATGAAAAGAAAAAAAAACCCTGCTCACAAATATAGAAGAGACTCTGCAAACACTCAGCTACCTCTCTGAATGATGGCGCAATAAAACAAGGCCATTGAGAGACAGATTTTAGGTATTAGATATAAACTCTAAGGATGACATGTTGATGTTATGAATGAGAAGAGGAAAAAGAGAATGGGCTGATAAACAAATCTAATGCTTGTAAGTGGGCTCTTATAAAATGTCAAACGTAAAAAGGCAAAGAAAAAGGAGAGATGATGACTGCCGTTGAAATTATCTGAGCTGTGTTAGAGCGCAATCTTCTCACTTTATCCCTTTATCCCTTTCAGTGGACTCATCTTAGGTGACAAACTGTGTGCTGCTTCGAGGTCAAAAACCCTTGGCTGAACAATACTGCCCTTCTAAGCAGTTCTCAAGAATGAATCAAAATACTTCCAAAAGTACTTCCTGGTCTGACCCATGAAAATGAGTAGCAATCTGATAAGAGTTTTCCCATTTTGGCATCCTCATCAAATTACATTTCAAATGTATCTAATTAGGGATGTTCCAATCACGTGGCCAGCAAAGTAAAACACGGTAACAGCTTGATGCAGAAAGTGCGAGTATGTCAGCGGTCTGGAGGCATTATAAAGTTGATGGCGACAACAATGTCATAGCAAACTGTGAGATATGTAAACTTGGGATTTTTTGCCGGTATTTTAAGTTAAGGTGCTATTTGTTTTTATGTAAATTTTTTTTTTCATTTACTGTTGCACTAAAGTTCAAAAGTGAAGAATTGATGTTATTTATTACTTGATTGTTCCAGCTCCCTCACAGAAATGCTCTGTTGGCAGAATTGTTGAAAGTTAAAATAAGGTGAATTAAATAAAAAACAGGGAACATCCTATATCTGTTTCTTCCCTTTTCTTTCTTCTTTTAAAAAAAAAAAATGTATTATAAAAGTATCGGATGGGGTTTCTGATTGAGACATCCCTATATCTAAAGTGGCATTTCAAATAATGATTTTGATAATCATTTTTATAGAATAAAATAATTCTATACATATTATTGTATTTAAGTAGTTTAAAAGGTGCTGACTGAACCTAGTTTGACAAATTATGGTGAGATAAAAAAAAAAAAAAAAAATCAAAGGGTTATTTCACCTAAAAATTAAAATTAGCCCATGATTAGTGCATGTACTGCAGTTAAATCAAATGCAGCAGCGCAGTTAAAAAAACAATCTGCCAGAAAGACAGCCTCTTCTTTTGTAAGTTGTTTTTGCAAAAATGCATCGATACACTTTAGGAGATCTTTACTGCATTTTAATCAAGATTCAAACGATGATGCAGCCAGCATGTTCAGTTTTTCCTCGAAATTAGACTGTATGATTTCAAAATCTGAAGCAAACACAAACAGGTCTGTACACATATAACATCGGAACAAAACAGCAGACAAGCTGAAGGAGATGGAAAATTACTCTCTGCCAACTGCCAATCTTCTGGCTCGAGACTTCTGGTCTCATTCACTTCCATTCATTTTTAGACATTAAAAACTGCTTGTTTCGCTGTTTGATGTTGCAAACTGATTTTTTCTTATTATATTAATCTACTTGGTCTGTATAGTAATGCAAACATTTGTTTGTAGAGCAAGTAGTTTGATCGTTTTCTGCCATTCATTATTCCTAGTCATTTTTCCCATAGGCGACTGAATCGGAAGTTCTAAAACAATAGAATGAGGTCAATAGGGTTTCCTGCACTTCCAGGCACTTATGAAGAAGATGCATTATCCACAGGCAAGATGTGCAGGAAATACAACATTTACTTTTCTAAAGACAGTCAGTTCTTCTCAGAGATTTATTCACTATATTGGGATTTCTTTGAAATCTCAACTGATCTGAATCATCACAGAATGACACAGATGATTCATGGTGAGTGCATACATCCCATGACAGACAGCAGTAAACCGGCACATGGAAAGCAAGAATAAAACTAAAGTTGTTTTTACAGTCTTGTTGGGCTGAAACTGAAATAAACATCAGGTTGTATGAAAAATACAAAATTCACCGTTTTAAATTGCAGAATGAACATTTTTTTTAATTACATCAGTGTATTAAAATGCCAGTAGCATAATGTACAGTACAGAAACAGTCTGGACTGAACAATCTGTAAGTCCCCGCATACAAAGCATTCAGAAACCATCAAGCATGTCTGTTGGTTTCTGAAAAGCTTTTCCATCGCAAAACAATGCAAGCACTTACTTCCGCTAGAGCACGTCGGTCTTGCACTTTACGGACACCAAGCTGCTTAACCACATTTTTGGCACCTTCTGCCACAGCTGCCTCAATCCTTAGATGGTGCCTGAGCTCCTCCACCCGCAGCTCGAGAGGACTGATTGTTTCAGAAGGGCGACCTGCAAAACAAACCTGCATTTAGCAAAAGAAACCCATCATTGCACCTAACAATTAATACAAGTTTATTAATGATAAGCATTTAAAAACATTTATAACTTTCATTACAGTTTACATTTCAAACATTACACTAAATAAATAGTTTCTTTAATGCACACACAAAATTAACAGTTCAAATCTAAATAAATAACATAAATTAACACTGAATAAACACTGTACAAACACCAAGTAATCAGATCTGCACTAGTAAGATAACACAACGAAAGTTTAATCAACAGTGTAGATAACATCAGTAAAATGGGGGAACTATTGAATTCTGCATTTTCATGCCACTTGCTTCCAGAGTGTCTAGTGAGAGCTACTTCATTACAAAAGCATTCACATATTGTGCAAGGGATGAAAACAACCTACAACGAAAACCACACCCAAGCGCAATGCTAAAAGGTCACCCTAATGCAAAGCTGACATTTAAGCTTGAATCCAAAACTATAGAATTATATCCTCAGCAAATTGATCCACTTTTTATACAAACAACAATCTCTTTTTATGGGTGAAGCTGATGTTTTGCTACCAGGAACGTGTGACCTTCCTGCAGCACACTTTAATGTGTTTGTGTAATTATCATGATTGTATGCATTCTCTTCAATGACTGAAACGGTTTGCTTACCTTCTTGCTGTGTGGTCTCTCTCTCTCCTTCTCTGGCCTGTGTGACTTTGACAATCTGCATGCGGAGCAGCTCGATTTTCGTCCGACTATCCTGCAGCATCTGCTGGGCTGTGGACAACATCTTCCGATCCTGAGAAGTGACAAGAGAGTCGATAAAAAGAGATTGTACTTTGTAGCTTGGATTTGCATTAGAACAAACAGTGAAGACTCAGTCTGACAAATAGAAACTGCGAAGAAAAAATAGAGAATAAAAAAATGATAACTTCATTATTATTCTTATATTTTATTTTTAAACTATATGATAGTTATATTACTTTATTATGTTATTATTATAATTTTTAATTAATAATATTATATTATAAATATGAATGTTCCCACAACACAATTTCCAGATTTTTCTCCCCTGATGTTTATGATTGGTACTTAAAATAACAACAATAATAAAATAACAATAAAACTATTTAATAAAAAAACCCATGTTGAACAATTTTCCATTTTGGTCTGACACTAATCCAAAAAGCCAATCCAAAAGTACTTTGTGTTTTTACTTTTCTGATCTCATCAAATAACAAAATACAAAGCTTATTGTGTTGATTAGTGGATGGGAGATGAAGTCCAATACATTTTATTGTGCTTCAACTGAAACAGCAGAGACTGAAGATTTATTTTGGGATTTGAGAATCAAAATTGAACGAGTAAACACACACACACACAATAGCTTGAGGTTTGAATAACTTTTCTCTTAAACATTTAATCAAGGTATCTGCAGGTTTCATCAAGTCAAATTTGAGACTTTTTAAGAGCTAAACAAGAATTTGTCTAATGGCCTGGCTGGGTCAATGGATTTTTTTTTGCTTGCAACAATAACAAAATGTAATTATTTCTCAAATGACAAGTTAAACATTGTTAAAAGTATACTTATCGTGGAGGCAATTACAAAAGCAATCAAATATAATATATTTGTTGGCTTTTGGTTCAAATTGATTGAGTATAACTTCTATTTAACCAATTCATTTCTGTTATAAAACCTTAAGTTTCATGCCTATTTATAAATTTGATGTCTACTTGCCCTGACTTCTGCAAATAGTTTTTGTGTGAATGAAAGATGACGTAAAGCAATATATTGCTTTGTTATTATCATGAGAAATTGTGTAAATGATTTTAGTTTTCTTTTCCTGACTTTACTGAGATGGATAGACTGGATGTAAGCCCAATTGGGTAGCTTTACTTGGACAGGGAAAATTAAGACCGGTTTAAAATTATAAGAAATAAAACACAATATTACAGTGAATATAATACTTTAAGGCTTAAAATTTTGTTGTTGAAATTCAAGACATTAAGACCCTTTTTAATGAATGGAAATTTCATGTACTGTAAATTCTTATCCCACAGCAAAAAAGTCTGAATGAAGAGCCGAGACCATGTGTTGGTCTTGCTTTCCAGTGTAAATATTGAAAGATTCTTAGATCAAAATGCATTTACTTGCAGTGAAATTACTTTAGATAAGAACTCTTTTTTTCTGTAAAAATCAAAATGATTTAAGTTTATAAAAAAGTTATTAAAAAAGGCAATTGGCTAAGAAAACGATTTGGATTAGATGGATTAATTTTAATTGGAGATTTGTTCTTGTTTTAAGTCAATAATCACTTAATTTTATTTCATTTCTCAAAAAACAAGGGAATTTTGGTAACACTTTACAATAAAGTTGTTTTAGTTAATGCATTTACAAACATTAACAACCACTGAACAATGCATTCATTACAGTATTGATTTATGTTAGTTAGCGTTAGTTAATGAAAATACAATTGTTCATTGTTAGTTCATGTCAACTCTTGGTGCGTTAATGTTAACAAGGATGATTTTGGATGTTTATAATCCATTAGTAAATGCTGTACTATAATTAATGAATGTTGTACAAGTATTGTTCATAATTAGTTCATATTAGTAAATACATTAACTAATGAAACCTTATTGTAATTTATGTATTTATTTTTTAATGCCATATCAGCAGCATGGTCTATTTTAATGGCAAAACATATACTAAATATACAATATATAACATACTGTCATATCAGTTTCTTAACATACATTGTACAAAAAAAAATCATACAAATAGCAACAAAAATTAAAAGAGCTTGATTAAAGATAAATATTCTAAAATTGCCTTTTCAAACATTTCACTTCAAATATTTCCTCTATTCTCCAATATCATTAAAAAAAATACACATTCTTTTAAAATATGTTTTATCATCAAAATATTCTTACACAAGTCACAAATAGGTTATTCTTCCCCTTTTAATAAATATGCATGTAAATCTTATTGTAAAGTGTGACCGGGATTTCTTCATTTTGCATCTTTAGTAAGTGAATCTTGATTTACAGATATTTCCATATTTGCTTTGCTAAAACAAAAAAAAATACAAAACAGAAAATACAAAACAAAAAAAATACAAAAGATGATTCGACTTTTTTTTCCCAGAGAATGCAACTTTTACGTCCGTCCCATGGGTAATGACTATGAATTTAAAACTTTCCGTTTTTTTTTAAGGGTTTGAATTTGTTGAAGAGCTACTTTAATGATATTTTTCAAACAGAAACACACACATTGAGCTTCTTCAAAAAGATAAACTCCCACAAGACCAACAGGTCATAAGTGCAGCGGTTTTCATTAAACTCTCCTCTTCCTCCTCACGAGAAGCAGCCAGGTGTTCACCACACCCAAACATCAAACACTGACTGTGCAGTTTTCATCTCAGAGCTTTATGAGCCGTGACGTTACACTCATAGTATTGCAAAAAATAAATAAATAAATACAAAAAAAAAAAAAAAAAGAGCAAGAAATCCTCAAGTCCAGCCAACACATTATGCAAAATGAAAACAACGGGTTCACTGATCATGTTGTCCCAACATGGTTTCTCATAGAGTCCCAACACACAAATGTAAACAACATTTCAACATGAAACGTGACTTTTCCGAAACCTACAAAAAAAAAAAACAATAATCAGGAGGTAATGGGGAAAAAAGGAAACTATACCGTCCATAGCGCTCTCCCCCTCTCAATGCAGCTCAAGAGGTCATCTGTCATGTTTTGTGAACTTTCAGATAGCTGAATGACATCCCCTTGCTCTTCCTTGACCCCCATCAGACATTTCCTCCTGATGCGTTCGTCTCTCCGTCCTCAGACATGCTCTCGTCAGTTTCTCCCACAGAACGCTGATCACGAATCAGCATCCGAGAAGCCACCCCATTCTTTCTTCTTATTGTTCTACTGTCCTTGCATCCTGAACGCTCACTCACTCGCTCATTCACTCACTACTCCCCTCCCCTTTTCTCATTTGTTCCTTCTCCCCGTCTCTCTCTCTCCCTCCGTTTACAGATTCTCTTCTACAGGAGTTCGCCACCTCTAACTGCTGCTGCTGCTGGCTGGCCCAAACATGAATGCGTTGGTATTGGTTGGAGCAAAGTCACATGGGCTGCTGCTGTCGCCAGGCCCAGGACAGGAGAAACCGAATCAGTACCAGCAAGCTCTTCCTCCACAGACTCCAAGGTGCTGATGTTTTAGTGTGCGCTTGTGAGTGTGTGTGTGTGTGAGGGAGATCAAAGCTCGGTACTCAAGCTGTCTGAATCCAGCACAGACATAAATCACAGTGCTGCCAGCACACTGTGTTCTGTGCCAGACGCCGCAGCATTATAAGAGCAATGTCTGGGACTCAAAGAATAAGTGGAAAATACACTCATGGCTAGCTAGAGGTTATAGGACGTCACTTTAAAAGGGTTATAAAAGATGAGGGTCGGGGGGAGGGGCCTCCTTTGTGTGCTTATTATCATATTTCATAGCCATTTGGCAGCATCCAAAACTGATTTAAATACACAGAGGAATAAAGGAGAGTTAATTATTTCAGAGATGCACAGCAGGTAAATAAAAAGGCCCTTGGGGGGGAAATCCTCACCTTGACAGAACTGTTTGTGTAAGTCTGGATAATGTTCTCAGCTCCTTGCTTCACTTTGAGCTCCATGGTAAGCTGTTTTTTCAGTGTACGGACATGACTGCCCAAGGGTGATGTGACTTCTTCCCAATGGCACGGGTCTGGGGAGGTGGCATCATCTGAGAAAACAAGAGGTTTTAGTAACTGATTTATTTTAGACTGTAAAAGACATGAGTCAAAAACATTTTCAGCAAGCACACATAATATAGTCAAGATATTTTAAAATGTAACAAAGAATTTCAATCAAGTAAAAATGCTGTTAATTCTAAGGTTTTATTATTTATCATCACAAAAATATTCACCGGTTTTCAGCATTGATAAAAATATCATTATTAATTTATTTTACCAGTACTGGGAAACACCCAAACACTCATTCACACACATACACAACAGACAATTTAGTTTACCCAATTCACCTATAGTGCATGTCTTTGGACTTGTGGGGGAAACCGGAGCACCCGAAGGACACCCACATGAACACAGGGACAACCTTCAGACTCCACACAGAAATGCTAACTGACCTACCGAGGCTCGAACCAGCGACCTTCTTGCTGTGAGGCGACAGCACTACCTACTATATATATATATTATGTATAGAGATTACATTTTTAATGAACAACAGGTTTTGTAGAATGCAGAGAGAATCAGTTTGGTACAGGCCAAGGCCAAAGCATGACACATTGTAGCACTCCTAAACTTCTTTTCTTTCCCACCAGAAAAGCATCTTTCCAGGAGTTTGGCACAAATGTGAGTGTACGTGCACTGATGGGTATAAAACTGTCTGTTGAGAAGACTTGAGACACAGTCTCTTACACATGCACTCTGTGTGTGTAACAGGTATCATCCTGCAGGATTATTTTAATAAACCATTTTTTTTTACTTGGTGAATAAGCAGATTTATTTCACTGACTTAATGCATCTAATAAACATATAAATACAAACACATAGAATTGATCTGACTCTCATCTGAATACACATGCTGGAGGTTTACTGTTGCCCAGTTTACTGTTTACTGAAGCAGCTTTATTGACAGATTTGTGCAGCCCTATAACAAAAGCCCAAAAAAACTATGATAATTAGCCAAATGTAAATAACAAAGTTAAATAATTAGGAAAAAAGCTTAACAATTTAACTAACTTTTATCTAAAAAAAAATAAATTATATATATATATATATATATATATATATATATATATATATATATATATATATATATATATATATATATATATATATAAAGGGTGTCACGATCTTCCAAATCCTCGATTCGATTACATTTTCGATTCTAAAGGCACGATTCGATTTTCGATTATGAATAATTAATTAATTAATGACCAATTAATTATTTGTAGCCTACCGTTTTAACTACCTGACCTGCATGGTCTTTGTTTTACCCATAAACAAATCATACAGTACATGAATAAAGGCAAGTTACACACATAATTACCACCTGTCAATCACTTTTTCTGTGGGACTCGTGAATAGGCAGTGATCTGTGTCGTTATAATGGCGTCGGTAAAAAAGACGCACAGCCAACAGGATTCAGCCAACAGTATCTGAGGTGTTCGCTAAAATGACTAAGTACAAGTGAGTGAAAGATTGAAGCAGTCTACTGATCCTCTGACTGCCTGAACCCGCTGTCTCGAGCCCATGGCTGTGTGTGTGCGTCTGTGTTTGTGTGTGTGTGTGTGTCAGAGGTAGAGAGGAAGAAGAGCTGCTCAGAAATGCTACACGCCACTGTGGATGTCAAATCGTTGTCGTTCTAAAATGCCATTTAAAAACAAAGACAGTGTAAACAGGGCCTGACTGTGTGTACTTTTCGCGAGCGGATTTGCAACGAGGGCGGGCGGAGGATCGCTATGCCGGTGTTGTCTATCGGATGAACCCCAATACGTACATAGCAGAGCTTGCAAAACTGTGTTTTTAGGTCTCCTGGTTCTGCAGTTTAACAAGCACTTCAACAAGCCTGTTTTTTCCCGCTTGGCAAGACAAGCTGACGTGACATGGGGGCGTGGCAGCATCGACGATTTTATTTTTTTATTCAATAATCGAAATTGAGCATAAATTTCGATTGATTTCGATTAAAAATCGAAATCGTGACACCCCTAATATATATATATATGTATATATATATATATATATATATATATATATATATATATATATATATATATATATATCAAAGCATGATCACTCCTTGTCTTACCCATCACATTCTCCTTCTGTGTAGCCATAGCACGTGCATTGAGCTCCTGAAGCTCCCAGTGGAGCTGCTCGAGCTTGCGGCTGGAGGCTCTAAGCTGACCATCCACATCAGCAGCACTCTTGCGGTTGGTCACTGCTCGGCGTAGACGCTCGGCCGCCTCTTTGATCTTCAGCTCGCGTTGGATCTCCTGCCGGAGAAGAGCAATTGCATCCTCTACACGCTGCTGAAACTCAGGGTCCATCAGGTCCCCTTCAGCCAGACCTTGAAGAGCGCTGCTCTGTGGTTTTCGGGACATTGAAAAGGCATTGAAAAAGTTACAACTGTGTTTACCGAGGACAATGAAACAATGACATCTTCATATCAGTTCAAGGGAAGCATAAGAGACACTGATGAAAAAGGGTAGATTTACACAAAAATGAAAACTGCCATCCTAAATGCATTTAACTTTTTTTCTTCAGGAGAACATTAATGAAGATTTATATCTGAAACTGGTAATTCATTATTTGCTTATTTATTTATTTATTTATTTATTATTTACTTATTATTTATAGGATTTAATGATATGATTTTTATTGTATGATAATATTCTCGGAAAACATTGCGGTTATGAGTTTATCATTACAAACTTGGAAAAAGTGTAATGAATAAAGTAATAAAGTCTTTCTTCCAAAAATGTGAAATTTAACTCAATTAATAAATGTATTTGCTAAATTATTTATTACATTAAAACCAAAACTATACATACCCCCTTTTTTAATCCAACAACTTAGAATTATTTAGCAGACAAGGATACATATAATTTAGAGGGGACAAAGAGCAGATATTTTAAGGAATTTAATGTTTTTTTTAACCTTATAGCCCTATAAACAAAATAAAAAACTGAACAGAATCAATTCTTTATAGATTCTGTGTTTAATGATTTAATAAATGCATTATCAAAAACAAAGGATATGAAATCAATGCACCACACCATATTTTAGTAAATTTTTAGTAAATGTAATCAAACTAATATTTTAAGCCTGAAGTGAACAGAAGTAATCAAAAGTTACATGGACAAACATGATATTCTAAAAAAATCTATAAATATAAGCTATAATTACGAAGAATAGTAAACACAAATTTGAACGACTGAAAATAACATTTGGAGTGAACTATCCCTTTAAGAAAATAGGTAATTTCATTACACTAACCAATTGTCAACTGCATTCGCATGGCATTATTCATACATGAATAAAGTGGAGTTTTCTGTAAGCAAAATCATAAAATGTGAAACTAGGGTTATAAATAAGAGCTGAATTTCCAATCCAGAGAAGTAGCACCAAAATGTGGTAACATATATTTCAGAAATAAGGCCTTAACATTTACATACTTTCGAATTCAGTGGTTTAAAAGAGTTAAATAAAAGGTAGTAACCCTATACATTACTACCATGTATGAAGTAGCAGTAATGGCTACTTTCACACTGCATCTCTCTTTGACACCTATAGAGGGCAGGGTTTCCTATATTGTGATAATCTGACACATTAATAAAAAGCCTATACTTAATCTATAATGCATATATGACGCAATCCTTGTAATTAAGATATAATAAAAACAGGACATTCAACAAACTGTCTACTACTGTAGTTTTGGTCTCATACTTTCAACTAGACATTCCTAACAGCAATTAATCTGGGAATACAGGCAGACGGCATTTTGAAAATAAAAAACAGACACGTTCAACTACTTAAAACCACAAAAGATATAAATGTTACTTGTTACTTCTTATACATAACTTCACTTAGGATAAAGCCTCTGGTGAATGGCATAAGAGGAAGCTGTCAAACCCGTTCAACCTGAAAATCTGAAGCGAAATTTAATTGTTTTACTTGAAGACGAAAAACTTCTATAAAAAGCAACAAAACAATGGCAAGTGTAAAAATGACGTCATAAAATACTGTATTTGTGTAACTAGCTTATCTTTTTGGACATTTAAGCTGTATAATAGTTTCACTATTACTAGAATAACCATACTGTCTTGTAAGTGCTTCACGTAAAAGTGAATCAAAAACGTTGAGGCGCTCAGTGAAATGTAAACACAAGAGCGTATGAACGTTAACGGCTTGACTGCTGCCTTTTATGACTTGTTTGATCTCCAAATAGTTCAGTATATCACAGTAAATTCCGTAACTTAAGCGTATCAATAAGGCTGTGTTATAAATATATCTGTTTTGTTTCTTACCTGTAGCGTCACACCCGACATTGTGAAAGAGTGTTCTGAGCGCTGATGCTCAGACTAACCGAATCCTCGCTCGAGCTTCTTGGCTCACGCTCACGCGGCGCTTGATTGAGTGAAACTAAAAAACATATCCAGACTCCCAACTGAATCTGAGAGCGCAAACAAAGGAAACATTCAAATAGAGTACAACTTGTGTGCTGGAAGAAGATACAGGTGGCTGTCTGTCAGCTGGGAGGCTTGACGGCTCTCGAGTTACCGGTAGTTTTTTATGGAAGAAGTTGCCTTGCCTTTCCCGTTTCCTGAGGTTTGAAAAATCCCCAACGCCTCCTTTTTCAATGATTGGCTGACAGCGCTGTCAGTCAAAAGGTCTGCATCGATGTCACTTGTCGCAGAGACCAATAGCAAACAATACGATTAAAAATTACCTGAAAAATTCAGCATATCCAACAAAATAAGAGAGATACATTTTAAGATCTTGCATAATGTTTATCCTACAAATTCCCAAAATAGCTAATTATTTGGATATATCTAATTTGTGTACTTTCTGCAAAATACATGAAGAGACTTTATTTCACTTATTCTATATTTGCATTCACATTAAACATCTTTGGATTGGAATAATATCAATTTTTTATTTATCGTCCTTATTTAAAAATTATTTAGATTTGTCTATAAAAGATATATTTCTGTGTTTCTCGGGTAATGATTATGCTTGATCTTATTGTAATTTTTTGTGTTACACTGTAATTTTTTTATACACAAAAGTTCCTAAAAACAATACAGATATTTAATACTTTTCTTGTTGAAATTTCGTACAATATTGAATCTCTTTAGCTTATTAATAATAATAATAATAAGAAGTTTCTTAAAGCTTATGATAATCTTTTTTCTTAATGCTTGAGGCTTTGTAATTTTTTCAAATTGAATGTAAAATGTGCTTTTACAGACATAATCAAGTGTGCAATGTGTTATAGAAATTATATTAGTCATTAAAAAAAGGTAAATAAGTAAATAAATCAGTAGAAAGATGGAGGTAAGGAAAAAAGAAAAAAGGGGAAACATCATACCCTCTGTAAGTACTAACACTGGTGACTAAATAGTCACAAAGTCTCTGGAAAGGCACATAAAACAAAATAATATTTTTTTCCACATAACAGCACAATCCTATAATACATGTCGTTTTGAAAAAAGAACTATAGAATAAAACAAAAGGAGGAAAAAACAATAACAACAAAAATAAAAAAACAAACAACGAAAGACCATTTCCTGTGAGCTTCTGATCACCCTCCTCCAATAAAGCCTAATTGACACACAAAACCATTTCTTTCATGTGTGAAGGCAGGTGTTCTGTAAAAGGAGACCGTATGTTTTAAAAACCTCATATGTTATTATTAAACAAAACTGCAAAAATCATATATGTTACTTTTAAAGATTTTATTTTTTGTTTTTGTGACTCTGTCTCCACTGAAAGAAATGCTTGTTTTGTTATAAATGTAATTTATTTTCTTAAGAATTTATATATCCACAAATGTAAATTTATCAATACAAACCACATTTGTAATGGCTCCTAGCTTTTTCATATACTTTCCTGTTTTTTTAAGAATTTAGATACAATCTCATTATCTGAAAACAAGAAAGCAAGTAGAATTTTGTATTGACTTAATTTAAATACTGAAGTTGATCATACCTTCCATTTCATGTTCATGTCCTTTTTTTCTTTATTTTTTTTCCTTTTTTATTGACAATGTATGTAATTGATATTTTGAATATTGTTTACAATATTGTTCATGTCACCACTGTATTCTATTTGCATTAATAAAAAAAGGCAATATGATTAAAGATTATCATACTGTTTTACGTTTTGCTTTGAAAATGCAATTTGGTTATTTAAACTTTGATTATAGTGTCAAAATGAAATGTGTATAATTAATTAGTTTGTTTTATTTGCTAGATATTATCTTCTAGATGCATATTTTCTAGCAAAAAGCCTTTTTATCATATCTAAAGATAGTGAGAATTAAATGTACACAATTAGAATCAATGCTAGGAAGTCTATTTATATCATTTAGAATATGTGTTTTAAATCTTTAAATAATTCAATGGTCTTGTGTCCATATTGAGTGCTGTATAGAGTACTATGTTACTGATTATAAAACAGGCTACTATATAGACATTTATGTCAGTAAGTTACTTACTTTTAAACTTAGTTACATAATTATTAAAATTCCCCAGATTCAGTAGCCGGGTGAACGGACGGCATAATAATTTAAATGGCTATTTTATTTCGTTAAATTCAAAGCAAAATAATAGAGCACAGTATAATTTTTAGTAAGACAAATTAAAGGAGAATTTATTATGATTCATTTTAAATGTATTTTAAGAAAAAAAAGTAAAAAAAAAAGTTATTTCATTTACTTTATTTCATTTTTCAGTATATCTTTTTTTCTATTTTTGTTGTTGTTTCCCTGTTTTTAATTCATGTTTTGTGTTATGTTTTGTATCCATGTAAAAAAAACTACTTGCTACTATTAAATATAATAATAATCAGTGGATATTATTTTTATTATAATAGAAAATAACCCTTTATTTCTTAATAAAAGCCTACACATTTACACACAGAAGCTGTAAAGTTTCACCAAAATCAGAAAATTATCTGCCAAAACGTTGATCATGTCATGTTTATTAATTGTATTGGGTATTTTTGTAACTTTGATGGTTATTACATTTTAAAACGTAGGGTGTAAACTGTTTAAGTTTAATAGATAACAATAAAGAATAAACAATATAAAAATGTATAGATAAATAACAAGGTATGAACGGAGTACTGTATAGGTACACATGAACTTCGAGTAAAATAGAAAACGGTTTCCCCATGTCTCACATCTCGCGATGGTCGCTGCAATGTACGAGAGTCAACGGGTTATAAATCCGCTATGTGTGAGATTCAAGTGCGTCATTCTGAAATCATGGCGGCGTCGCTGGCGAAGAAGTGCGCTGCTCCGCAAATCCTCAAAACACTTTCAGCTCCAACCTTGAGGACGCAGATTGGGTATCACAAAAAGGTAAGCTAGTCGGAGAAGTAATCGTGACAGCTTCGAAAGTTCTCTCTTTTGGTTTCATCTATTTCAAGTGGTTTCCCGTGTGGTTTATATCCCGTGATGTACAACGACAGTAAATTACACTGTACTGTCTGTCACCACAAACATGTGACCTATTGTGTTTCTTATGATTTTTCTGCCACCAGCTTATACTTCTTTAAGTCATCTGACTGCAGTTCTTATGTTTAATATCTTATTTATTGTAGATGACTTATAGTTAACTTGTTACACTGAATGAGTCCATAATATCTTTTTATTTAGCAAATTATATTTCTGTAAAATCAGTACATTATTTAGGTCAAAATTGAGGGACAATTGAGATCAGCATGGCCGTGTATTTGTCTTATGTAACAATAAGCACATGATTCTGACAGAAAAAAACTTAGTTGGCTCCTCCCATAAACTTTATTTTTTATTTATTTTAAGGTCGTGGACCACTATGAGAATCCAAGAAATGTAGGATCTTTGGATAAAAATGCTAAGAATGTTGGCACCGGGTTGGTTGGTGCCCCTGCATGTGGAGATGTGATGAAACTTCAGGTAATCCTGTCTTTCTTAACAATAGGACCAGTGAATGAATGAATGAGTATGGATGTTGCTAGATGTCACTAAGGTGAATCTTAGTGGATCTTAATTCTTTGTAGTGTATCTGAAGCCTGTGATGGCATTTAGGAATTACACAGGATAAGTCTGCATATGTTAAATGATTGTATTTTAATTTATTGATTTAAAAAAGATTGATTTATTGTTTGTTCATTTAAGAGGGTCAAATATAATACAAACATAGTAATTGTTTATAACAATATTATAATGATAATAACAAATTTAAAAGGACAGATAATCTCTAAACATGCCTCTAGCCACAGAAATGGCTAAATTGCAGGACCTCATCCACCGTTAAAGTGCATTTAAATAGCTAACAGCTTATAACTTAATTATATAAGCCATAATAAAGCTAACAGCTCATAACTTAATTATATAAACCATAATTAATAACTAATTTATATGAACTATAAATAAATTCATGAATAATCCCACGATTACACTTTAAGCAGGTTTTTATAAGAAAACTGATTGAAAAATTGAAACAAGTAAATTAAGCCTGTCATGATTATGCATTTTGTGCATAAGTAAGGAAGTTCCTTACTTCCTGCTTTGCTACTGTTCGGACGTCTTTGCCCACTGCTCCGCTCTTCGCACTCTTGCTTTTATATCTTATACCCTAATTTTAACTTGAGCCTATCAGCACAGTGCTCAAACAACACGGCTTGAAGATCAGCATCGATTCTACAAACTTTCTGGAATATAGCTTTACTAACAAGAAAGGAATTACCGTCTAAACAATCCTCCCGCTACCAGCTATCAGCTGCTTACATTCCGGAGACGGGAAGACACGGCTGTGAAAATGCCTCTGGATCGGATTAATTCAGATTCTCACTGCTGTACAAACTGCCACAAACTTCTACAAAAGATTGCAGTTCTTGAAACGAAGTTGCTTGCGATCCGACCAGAACTTCAGCTTCATTGTGGATTCTCTCAGCACACAGCCGGTGAGTCCCATAAATCTGTTCCTGCTACTGTTTTGAGCACAGAAAAACAGAAAAGAACTGTTGAAAATGAGCATTGGCATAAACAAGGTGCGAGACCAAAGGGTACTCGTGGGGTCAGATCATACGCTGCCGCATTAGCGTCTTCTACCCCAAATACAGCTCGGACTCAAATACAGCTTCAGAACAGATATGAAGTTTTGAGTAATATGGGTGAAAAATCCCCAAATGTAGTCAGACAGAGATTGCATGATTCAGCAACTAATTCTGCATGGAACAGAGGCTCAAGGCCGACTAGACAGCGGCATTCTGCTCCGATCGCACCTGAGATAAGAACACTAGTCGTAGGAGATTCAATAATCAAGAATTTCAGGAGCAGATCTACAATGACATACTGCTTTCCTCATGCAACAGTTTCTGATGTAAACAAAGAGCTTGAGGAAATTCTGAAAAAGCACAAGACGGCAAAACGGATTATCATCCATGTGGGGAAGAATGATATTCGGAAAGAACAGTCAGAACTGCTCAAGAAAGATTTCTGTGAGCTCTTGGAAACAGCTGAAAGATTGAAGGTTCAGGCGTTCATAAGTGGACCACTCCCTGCAAGAGGGACAAATATGTTTTCACGGCTTCTTGGTCTAAATGTATGGCTACAGAAAACATGTAACAAGAAAGGACTGAATTTCATCGACAACTTCAATCTCTTCTGGAACCAAAGACAGCTGTTTACATCAGACGGCCTTCATCCAAACAAACTTGGTGCAAAGGTGCTAAAGGACAATATTTTTTTCTCCCTCAATCATCCATCAGCTGTGTATGCCACTGAACTGAACTGCAAACACACACCTAGCAAATGTCCGGATGACCACAGGACTTCAAATCAGCTCCTGAGTGGACTTGTGGCTGACGAATCACCCAAGGACAGTGATAATGCCACGCAGCCAAAACACCCAATGTTGATAGAGACACTATCAGTTGCCCTCTGCTCAACACAGGCAGACTGTGACTCATCAGAACAGCATCAAGTCTCGTCACTCAAAAATGATCCTCAGGAAAACATATTTCTGCAGACAGAATCTCCAGATGCACAGCCTCTGTCACCGGACACGTTCTCATTGTCACAATGTTCACCACTCTTGGGTTTTTCAAAAAAGATGGAGGAACTGGTGTGTGCTGGAACTAAACTTTCACACTCCATTGCCGCAAGCCCCCAGTTACCAACCAAAAAGCGGCCTGCTCCACAACCACCTATGAGCCCACCTGGAAGAGCCCTCCGATCACACCGCCAGGGCCCAAACAACAACGCCCCATCTTCAGCTGGTGAACACAAGAGCTGTCACTGATGTGTGTCGGGGGCCTGCTTAGATAACAGTGTCTTTATCAAATGTTTTCAGAACAAGCAGGAACCCAGTGTGTCTGTAGCTTTCTCTAAGCAGATATGTGTTGTGTTAAGTGACAGAAAACCAAAGACTTCATCAGGCCGTTTAGCAAATCATTCAAATCTGGTGTCTATTAAATGTAGATCTGAGACTACTATAGAAAAAACAGCTAAAACTGTTAGGTTAGCGCTTTTAAACATCAGATCACTCAACAATAAGTCTCTTTTAGTCAATGATTTTATCAACACAAATAGCCTTGATTTTATGCTTTTAACTGAAACTTGGCTAGATGACAGTTGTAGCGCAGCAGTTCTGAATGAAGCAGCTCCTTTAAACTTTGACTTTTTGAGTGTTTGCAGAGTTAATAGGAGAGGTGGAGGCATCGCTGCCCTGTTTAAAGATGTGTATGAATGTAAACAAGTGTCATTTGGTGACTATCTGTCTTTTGAATATCTGAGTATAGCACTAAAAGGGTCTCCACGCATCTTACTGATCATTATCTACAGACCTCCAAAATATTCTCCAGCTTTTATTGAGGATTTTACAGAGCTGTTATCAATAGTAACCTCTGAATTTGATTATTTTAGTATTGCTGGGGATTTTAATATTCACATTGATAATCCAGAAATCAATGCTGTAAAAGAACTGATGACTGTTTTTAACACTTTTGATCTGACTCAGCATGTTCAAGGACCCACACACAATCGTGGACACACTCTTGATCTACTTATAACTAAGGGTTTACACATTTCATCGACTGTTGTTAAGGATGTGGCACTATCTGATCATTTCTGTATCTTTTTTGATATATTGATCACTCCAGCTATTAAAGACAGATCTGTCTCTGTCAGAAAGAGATGCATAAATGAGAACACCAGTGAGCAGTTTATGAAAGCCATATCGCAAGCACCAAGTATATCTGCAGATTCTGTTGATTCTCTCCTTGATTTGTTCAATTCTAAAATTGAGAATGTCATAAATGACATCGCTCCTGTTAAAGTCAAGAAGATGACTGGCAGGCAAAAGGGATCTTGGACAAGGTCACCGAAAGTACAAATGATGAAAAGACAGTGCAGAAAAGCTGAGCGTATGTGGAGAAAGACGAAACTAGTAGTCCATTATAACATCTATAAAGACAGTCTTCATGCCTTTAATATGGAACTAAACACTGCTAGACAGACTTTCTTTTCAAGCCTTATAAACAGCAACTTAAATAATGCTCGTACACTCTTTGCAACGATAGAGAGACTCACAAACCCCCCCAGTCAGATTCCAAGTGAGCTCCTCTCTGAAAGCAAATGTAATGAGTTTGCTCATTTCTTCACTGATAAGATCAATAATATCAGAAAGGCAATAAGCTCATCCAATCAGTCAAGTTGTGTCGATATCAAACAAGCTCAACCACAACTTAAGAAATCAGACATTATGTCTGATTTCATGGCAATTAACGGTGAAATCTTAGAAGAGACTGTGCAAGTTATGAAAACATCAACCTGCAGTCTTGACACGCTCCCCACATCATTCTTCAAAACGGTGTTTACCTGTTTAGAAATGGATCTTCTAAAAGTGGTAAATGCTTCACTTCTATCAGGGATTTTTCCAACCTCACTTAAAACTGCAGTTGTTAAACCCCTCTTGAAGAAGAGCAACCTGGATAACACCCTATTGAGCAATTACAGGCCAATCTCAAATCTCCCTTTCATTGGCAAAATCATTGAAAAAGTTGTTTTTAACCAGGTTAACAAGTTCTTAAACTTCAGGGGGTGTTTAGACAATTTTCAATCGGGGTTCAGAGCACATCACAGTACAGAGAGCGCTCTTATAAAGATAATCAATGATATACGCCTAAATACAGATTCAGGTAAAATAACAGTGCTGGTATTGTTGGATGTCAGTGCTGCATTTGACACTGTCGATCACAGCATACTTTTGGATAGGCTGGAAAACTGGGTTGGGCTGTCTGGCACGGTCCTCAAATGGTTTAGATCTTACCTAGAAGGTAGAGGTTACCATGTCAGTATAGGTGACCATAGGTCGAGGTGGACACCCATGACGTGTGGAGTCCCACAAGGCTCGATTCTGGCACCTCTCCTGTTCAACCTTTACATGCTCCCTCTAAGCCAAATAATGAGAAAGAACCAAATCTCCTACCACAGCTATGCTGATGACACTCAGATCTACCTAGCCTTACAGCCTAATGACTACAGCCCCATTGACACCCTCTGCCAATGCATTGATGAAATGAGCAATTGGATGTGCCAAAACTTTCTTCAGTTAAACAAAGAGAAAACTGAAATGATTGTGTTTGGAAACAAAGATGAGGTTCTCAAGGTGAATGCGTACCTTGGCACTAAAGGTCAAACGACAAAAAATAAGGTCAAGAATCTTGGTGTGACTCTGGAGTCAGATCTGAGTTTCAACAGTCATGTCAAAGCAGTCAGTAAATCAGCATACTATCATCTCAAAAACATAGCAAGAATCAGATGCTTTGTTTCTAGTGAAGATTTAGAAAAACTTGTTCATGCTTTTATCAGCAGCAGGGTGGATTACTGTAATGGACTCCTCACTGGTCTTCCTAAAAAGACAGTCAGACAGTTGCAGCTCATCCAGAACGCTGCAGCCAGAATTCTAACCAGAACCAGAAAATCAGAGCACATCACACCTGTCCTCAGGTCTTTACACTGGCTGCCAGTTACATTCAGAATAGATTTTAAAGTATTATTACTGGTCTATAAATCACTAAATGGCCTAGGACCTAAATACATTACAGATATGCTCACTGAATACAAACCTAACAGATCACTCAGATCTTTAGGATCATATAAACTAGAAGTTCCAAGAGTTCAGTCAAAGCAGGGTGAATCGGCTTTTAGCCACTATGCCCCTCGCTGCTGGAATCAGCTTCCAGAAATGATCAGATGTGCTCCAACATTAGGCACATTCAAATCAAGACTGAAAACACATCTGTTTAGCTGTGCCTTTACTGAATGAGCACTGTGCTGCGTCCGACAGATTGCACTATCATGTTTTTCTCTTCTTCTTCATTCTTTCATATCACATTTTACCTGTTTTTATGTTTTGTTTTGTTTTTATGCATTTTTATTATTTGTTTTTACTTTTATTTTACTTGTTTCTTTTATTCTTGTTTATGTAAAGCACTTTGAATTGCCACTGTGTATGAAATGTGCTATATAAATAAACTTGCCTTGCCTTGCCTTGCCTTGCTTCTTACAAAGTGTCAAAGAAATAATTGTAATCAACAAATTGATTGCCTTTTTTCAAAATTTTACCCTAATATTTATGTTTTAATTACTTTTTTATATTATACTTTAAAACATTATGACATATTCATTTGGTTTTCTTTTATGTTGGTAAAATAATATTCTAAAACTTAATATTTTTCTTTCCTATTCATACTTTATTATTCATTCATTAATTTTCTTTTCGGCTTTTCCCTTTAATAATAGTGGAATGAGCCGCCAACTTATCCAGTTTTACGTATGCCCTTCCAGCTGCAGCCCATCCCTTAGAAACACATATACACTCATTCACACACACACACTCATAAACTGCGGTCAATTTTAGCCAACCCAATTCACCTGTACTGCATGTCTTTGCACTTGTGGGCGAAACTGGAGCATCCGGAGAAAACCCACGCGAACACAGGGAGAACATGCAAACTCCACACAGAAATGCCAACTGACCCAGCCGATTCTCGAACCAGCGACCTTCTTGCTGTGAGGTGAACGTGCAATCCACTTCACCACCGTGTCGCTTCATACTTTATTACTCTTACTTTATTCTTGATCTGATTTACATTCAAACCGATCCAACAAACTATAATAAATTCTAGTATAATATAATATATGAAAGAAAGACTTTTGACAGACTTTGTGTGTTTGCAGTGTATTTACCTTATTTCCTTTGTCCCCAGGAGTAAAAATGCATCTCTAAGCATGTGGAGCGTTATTTAAGCATTATTTTTTATTGTAAATAACTAATATATTTATGTGTTTACTAATATGAAGTAGTAAATATGAATAAACATAGTAAAAGAAAATATGTTAATATTTATTAGTTAAAAAATAAACATGACTAAATACATATTCATATTTATTGATTTATTCATTATAATATATTTTCCTTTAATATTTGAAGAATATATTCATATCTTAATAAATATTTGATATCTATTTGCTAATTAACAATAGTTATTATTATTTAAAGTAATAAATAATAATTCATTTAATATTATTGGTGATAATAATAACAATAGTAAAAAATGAACTCTTTCCAAGAGATGGGTTGCTGCTGGAAGGGCATCCGCTGCGTAAAAACTTGCTGGATAAGTTGGCGGTTCATTCCGCTGTGGCGACCCCGGATTAATAAAGGGACTAAGCCGACAAGAAAATGAATGAATGAAAAAATTAACTCATCAATAGATACATTCTAGAATGAATTGCAGTAGCACAATTATTTCATATATAAGATCAGTCTGCAAATCAGTTCAAATACTGATGATTAAAAACTTTCTGCAGTTTATTCAAGCATTATATGCATTAGTAGTCCACATTGTTTGTACTCAAGTTTGCTTTTGCTTTTTCCCACCTAGGTCGAGGTGGATGAAGCTGGGAAGATTGTGAATGCAAAGTTCAAAACTTTTGGCTGTGGCTCTGCTATTGCTTCCAGCTCTTTGGCTACCGAGTGGGTGAAAGGCAAATCTGTAAGCAGAAATGCCATTTTTATTAGTTCTTTGGATGTTTTCCTGTTTTTCTAATCTTTATTTCAACAAATTTAACCTGAACTGAACATATTTGTCTAAACATTAAACCTAAAAAGTCTTGTGGTTTGCCTGCATGTACAGGTCGATGAGGCCCTCAAGATAAAAAACACTGAGATCGCTAAAGAGCTTAGCCTTCCTCCAGTCAAACTGCACTGCTCGAGTAAGAATTTTAATGTTCATCTTTGCCTTACATTATTTACTAGTGTTATGATTGCTGTTCAGGTTGATAACAGTGACCCATATTATTTCTACTGTTAAGATGTTTCTTTTTTTGTAGCTGACCTTGTTCTCTGTTATGCAGTGCTGGCAGAGGATGCTATTAAAGCAGCTTTGGCCGACTACCGCCTGAAACAGGAAGGTGAACCGGTTGAGGAGACAGCTGTGGCCCGCAACTAGGAGGCACATTTGATCCTTTAAATCAGTGGTTCTCAACTGGTGCTTAACAACCAAATGGGGTTTCAGATCGGCTCGGATTGGGTCATGGGCAATAGAGAATTGAAACTACTAAATGCCAGTATCAAAATGTGATCAAATATACATGGTTATTGTTCTCTTGGAAGAGAAAAAGGCAGTTTTATTGTGTGATTGATTTTGCGTATTGTTGGGTCGACATTGTTTATTCTGAAACATCATTTAGGTCTTGAAAGCCATTTGAGAAATCCTTGTGATAAGTTTAGACCAAAGCTCTCCAACTCTTGCACTGTAGCCAGTCTTTTAAACGCACAATATAAAAGCACTGAATGTTACTGTCTAATATTAGTTGTAATGAAAAAATGTGGTTTCACTTGCTAGCTGAATACGCACACAGATTATTTTATTGTATTATGTTAGTTTGAAGGGACAGAAACATGATTGTGTTGGTGATTTATGCTGCTGAGATTGTATTTGATGGCCTTTCAAACATTATTAGCTTTAAAATAAAGCATATGTAAAACTGAATCAAGTGAGTGTTATATTTGATACTGCATATCCATGTGTTGGAAGATTTATCAAGCACGTTACACTGTCGTCATAACGCACGACGTGCTCGGCTACACGATAAAAGCCATGGTTTTTTCCTAGCCATCCCTGACGGTAACGTGCTCTTTCTACGTTTCTATTTCTGCAACAACAGCATAAACTAGTTTACTATGTAATATCAGATGTTGATTATATTGCTTTAATCAGTGTTACATGTTATCATTGTGTGTTTGAAAACCATTTTACCTGACATTTATTGCGAAACTGAAAGCGCCAGCAGATTACCTCAGATCTTGAAAATAAACAGAATCATCATAGATGGCGCTGTTTTGCACAATTTTTTTAAGGTCTAAAACAACATCTGCAGTTTCTTACAATATTTGAAGTAGCCTATTTAATTTTTAAAACGTAATAAGGGGTTTGTTGAACAGTATTCAAATGTTTCTACTATATCACCAACATTTCTCATCAACATACACCTCCACACTCTCCTCATAACTTGTACTCCCCATAATCACAGCACTATTTAATATTTGCACATTTAAAATTGTACATTGCACTTAGTTGCTCTATTTCATCCTAAATTGTACATATCCACCACACTAGACATTTGTATTTATGTTCATATCTAGCTGCATACCTCTGATTATTAATAGCAACTTGTACCTATTCATCTATTGTAAATCTCTGTTCATAGTTAACAGTAACACAACTTATATATAATGTTCATAGTACACCCATCTGTAAATAAATATCACCATTTTTTTTCTAAAATTGTACTTACATCCTGCACTTGCTGCTATTGCACTTAGACATAAACTGCATTCTGTTGCCTTGTACATGTGTAATGTCATTAAAGCTGAATCTAATCTAATATCTGAAGTAAACTGACAATAGTTGTGGAGGGTTTACAGTAAAAACTTTGGCTAGTATTTGTATTTGAAATAAACCTATATGCAAATTCTAATATATAAATCAAATCTCAAAATGATTACAATAGTGAGTTTATATTGAAATAGAAAGCACATTGCAGACACTAATATCTGACCATAGACTAAACTGGAAAGCGGCATGGGACTCATTTAGCAGCTGCGGCTGAATACCTCTCGACCTTGAAAGGAAATATTTAAAGCCAGAATATGTAAACAATAACCTGGCTCACAGCAAAACTATTTTTTACACTGAGACTCGTCTCCTTAATTGGAGTAGCAAGTGTGCTTGCTTTATTTCTTTGTGAGCGTAGGTCTGTATGCGGTGCATTGAGATTAGATGAGACATACTGTAAAATATAGCTTTCTTCTTTTATAAGCCACCTACTTAATCTTTCCAGACTGTTAGCATTATTAAAAGTGAGTAAAGCAAAGAACATTTCTGAAGCACAACCAAAAGTAAATATTCAATCACCATTTACTCACCCAAGTGGTTCCAAACCTTATTATTTAATTTGAAACAAAATAAATTGAATGTAAAGGGACTAAGTCGAACGAATAAATGAATGAATGAAAGAATGTTGGAAATAGTAGACATTGCCCAGCAGGCACACAACATCATAAGACGTTAATATTAGGTTAGATTTAGGTCATGATATCAGGTGACCAAAATTCAATGTCTACACTGCAAAAAACTGATTTTCTTAGATTGTTTGTCTTGTTTCTAATCCAAATATCTAACTCTTAAATCAAGAAGCATTTTCTAGACAAGCAAAACATAATTTCCTGTTTTAAAAAATAATATGCCAAAATTAAGTGAGTTTTTCCTTAAAATAAGCAAAATAATGGAGCCAATGGAGTAAGCCAAACAGTTTTATGTCAAAAGGAAAAGCAAGATTATTTTGCTTACTCCATTGGCAGATTATTTTGCTTATTTTCAGGAAAAACTCAGTTAATTTTGGAATATTATTTCTGAAAACAAGACAATATGTGTTGCTTGCCTAGAAAATGCTTCTTGATATAAGATGTTTTAGGATATTTGGACTAGAAAGAAGACAAACAACATTATGTTTTTGACAACATTATTTTGACTTCCAATAATGACGTTAAATTACGCTGATATTTGGTTGATTTTAGGTTGTGTTGGAAAGTGACCAAAATTCAACATCTGATAGATGTCATAGTGGTAACATCCACACAACGTCAAGGTGTAACATAAGTAGATGTTGATATGTGGTTGATTTTAGCTTGGACATTGGACATCATCTTGATGTTGGGTTCTGACGTCGACCCTTTTTTCATTTCTAAACAAAATCCAATGTCCCCACAACGTTGGGTTACATTGGGGTACATCGTCAGTATGACGTGATGTTAACTTCCTGTGCCTGCAGGGTGCCTTCCATTGTATTTTTTTTTTTACTTTGGATGTCAGTAATTATTAGTTTTTCAACATTCTTTTAAATTTATATACAGTTAAAGTCAGAATTATTGGCCCCCTTTAATTTTTTTCCCCTTTTTAAATATTTCCCAAATGATGTTTAACAGAGCAAGGAAATTCTCCATGTATGTCTGATAATATTTTTCTTCTGGAGAAAGTCTTATTTATTTTGGCTAGAATAAAAGCAATTTAAAAAATTTTAAAAAACATTTTAAGGTCAAAATGATTAGCCCCTTTAAGCTATATTTTTTTGATTGTCTACAGCAGGGATTCACAAACTTTTCAGCCCACGACCCCCAAAATAACAATGCTAGTGACTCATGACCCCCAATATCCTCTGAGGTGGTTATAAATACAGAAACCTCGCATGCAATGGCGCACACACACACCAATACACCCAAGTCTATACTTCGTTTAATTTTTTTAATGTATGTGAGTGCTGCAAATGTGCCAAAAAAGTTTAACCTGGTATTGTAAAATCAATCTTCTGCATCTGACGCTATTGTTGTGTCTTTAATATAAAGTAATTACCTCAGGGGTCGCAATCCAATAGAACTAGTAATAAGCTACTATAAAGTATATAGTAACTAGAAACAACAATAGGTAGATTAGGTCAGTTGGTTATGGATAAAATATGGTAATTCTTATGGTTTAATAATAATAAATAGATTTTTGGAAATCAACAGGCGAAAAAATTGCAATTAGATATTGTCCCTAAATGGCACAGCCCCTTTAGGGAGCCATCGACATATACAGCGAAAAGAGACTCATGACAACGAGCAATTAAAATGCAGTTTTTATGATAAAGTCATGCCCAGCAGGCATCCGTTCGTAGCATTTAAAATAGCGATTCAAAACAGATTACATATGTTACATGAAAGTAAACAGTCAGAAACAACAATAAAGCCATACAAACTTTTGGGAAAATCATGAAACCTCATACCACATTCTTCACTTTTACAATGTCCAAAAAACACAGTTTGCTCTGTACTTGTGTTTCCTTCAAGGCTTTTAAAATGTCCACATTAAAATGCTGTTTTCTCTTTGCTGATGAATGGAGAGCCTGAAGTAGTGACTTCCTGTTTGTTCGTGTCCTCTTGTATCTCAGAATTCTCTAGCCCAGATGGATGTTTGCTCTCATCAGGGGGCCCAGAGTCCGAGAGGTCAGTCTTTTCCATGTCACAAGATGGGACATCGTCCTGGGACCTGCTGGGGCTGATCTTTTCCACAGGATCATCAACAACAGACTCATTTGTGATATTTTCTTCCAGCAAACCACAGCTCTCCTCTTGACTCAGCTCACATAGAGGACTTTCCTCCTCCTCTGCAGGTTTTTGGGCTTCTGCCTCTTCACTCTTCTCCTTCCACGGACTCTTGAGTGGAGTTCTGAGGTTCTTGGTGGCCATCATGATGTCCTCCTGGAGCTGCCTGGCTGAATTCACTGGCTCCTCACTGGGGCTGGTGTTGGTTTTTTCTGGGACTTCGCTGAAGAAGCGTCCTCCCCCAGCCTTGTCTTGCTCATCCACGTACATCTTTGAGGGAAAAGCACAGGGGTAGTAGGTGCTGACTTTACGTCGGCGACTCAAAATGGCAGCCGAGCAGAGGATGGTGAAGATGAGAAGGATTAGTGTGGTAATGACGATTATGGGGAGGTGGTTCTCTTTTAAAAAATCTGCTGCTTGATTCCAGAATGGTTTGGTTTGTTTATCTCCATCTATGGAGGTGGACTTCACAGAGTCATTGAGAAAGGAAGGGATGCTGGGTGTGAAATCCACATCTATGATCGTAGAATACCACTGGCCACTGCCCTCCCAAGAGTCATTTAAAATGACTGGGGTGGCATTAGAGTACTTTTTGGTTAGCAGAACAATGGACAGGCCGATGAGGCAGCGGAGAGCTGAGTGATCCATCCTGTGACTCAATACCTGCAGTGATTAAAAAGCATACAGCATTTTTCATTTTCATTTTTGCACATGTATAACCCTCATGTAGTTTTTCTGTGAGAAGAACCTCAGACCAGGACTTCAGTTTAACATCTCAACCAAAAGACAACGCTCACTGAGCAGTACAGAGTCTCTTTCACTCTACTGGGGTGTTAGGACTCACACAGGCCACAGGTTGGGCACCCCCTGCTGGCCTCACTAACACTGATTCCAGCAGCAACCTAGCTTTCACATGTGGTCTCCCTTCCAGGTAGTGACCAGGTGCAGCCCTGCTTAGTTTCAGTGGGCGACAATATGAGATTTGCAGAGAGCTAGCTGACGGAAATATAATGTTCTTTTTAAATTATCAAATATATATAAATATTTCAATAACCTTTTCAAAGTGAACACATTTAATTTTCCCACACTTTACACTGTAAAAAATACTGGGTTCCACACAAATCCTTCATGTTGTTCATGTAGCACAAATTGATTAATTTAACTTAATTATTTTTAAAAACTTAAGTGGATTGAACATAAAACATTTAAGTTGTCCCAAAAGTCCCTCAAGAATTGTGTTGATTCAACTCATTTTTCATAATTAGATTGAACAAGCAGCCAAAATATTTTTGAGTGTAAAAAATGATTAGTTGACTTTTGTAAATAAAAAATTAATAAATAAAAAAGTAAAAAAACTCCTTTCTTTTAAAGTGATTGGTTGACTTTTAAAGTGTTTAGTTGACTTTCCTTGAAAATGTTTTTGAATAACCCTGTAGCCTAAAATTTATAAGTAAACAAACTATATGCATATTTTAAAAAATGACTCAATAGTTCCAAGTTACAAAGAGTTTACTTACTTTTTAAAGTAAACTCATCTTGTCACTTTTTTAGGCAATGGGATTACTCACTTTTTAAGTAAAAAAAAATGTTATCTAAATTAACTCAATAACATTTATAATAATTAATAAGAAATTTGCTTTGTTTTTATTTCATTGTCACATTAATTTGCTGAATTTGTCTTTCCTAAAAAAAAAAAAAAGTTGAAAGAGCCACATGGAAACTTCATTGGATTCAGAGCCAGATGCATTATGTTCTGTGCAACTGCCATGTCTGTTCATTCCTGCTTCATGAGCTCCTGTTTCAAAGTTCCCGTTTCTACTATGAGCTGAATAAACATCCCTAACTCTAGTTTCCATTTTTGCGAAAAGATAGGACATTTAACTCTACATTTTCCTGCATTGATGGCAAAACAGACTTTACAACAATGTTTAATCCATTACAATCAGTTAATGTAAAGATACTTTGTAAAGACTTTACTTCTTTCTTTATATTGTATGATTTATTAATCTATGATAAATATTAATATAAGACATTAATTATAGGTAGTTGTTAATTTATGTTCAGAATTAATAACTGCTTTAATTATTAGAAATCAGGATCATTTATACAACTTAAATCTTATTTTAACGTATTAATAAGTGCAAAAGTTTAAATTTAATCTGTAATAAAATTCAATCTAAAATATTTCCAAACTAATTTAATGGTCTTATTGTAAAGTGTTTCTAACGAATTTAAAGTTCAATACAAATATTGCGTTTAATACATCAATTCAGAAAGCATTGGTGAACCAAAGTATTATACTACAATGATTTATTTCCTAAAACAACAATGTTCAAATAATGGTTTCTCTGCTCCATCTGTGCTCAAGCTGACGACTAATCGTCACTGGGCATTTGGTGCACAATGGAAATAGTATCAAGCTCATGTGGCGCCTCACTCTCAAACACACACACATACACACACAAAGCCTTAATACTAATCTCTGTCAGTGTTTTATGCTGGCTTCAAAGCAGTTCCAAACAACTGTAAGCTCTGTCCTCAGTATACGAACTTCCATTTATTTACATCTATAGAGAGTTTAAAAACAATCAAGCCAGAATTAACTTTTTGAGTCCAGCTATTCTTTGTCACAGTTTAAACTTAGTTAGCCACATGAACACTTTAAAGATGTGCATTTTCCTACTAAAAATAGAAACCAGACCAAAGAGATGCTGAAATCTGACTTACTTTAGAGTTCTAAAACATGCCGACTGAAGATGATCTGGCATTGAGAAGAAACGTCTGCTGTTTCCTCCTCTCAGACTGCAAGATGAAGAACTGCTGGACTGCTGATGGGGGAAAGAAACTCCTGCTTTCCCCTCCTCCCCTTTTCTTCTTCTTCTACTTCTCCTGCTTCTTCCCTATCCCAGAAAGACTGACTGGGTCATTTCCAGACACACTGTTCTCGTTAAGGCTGTTTTGGGGGAGAGCCGAGTTTTTCCCCCCTCCTCTTGCCTGTGTGCACTGGAGAACTTCAAGCCACCAGATGTAGCATAGTTTGTTTCAACAAACTAGGGAGACTGTGAGGAATTTTCCTGCAGGTTTTCTTTTCATCCAGTATCTTGAAGCTAAACTTAATGTAAATTCCTCCAGTGTAAGCATTACATCTGAGGAGGAAATGCAGAAGCTGATGGTATCTTGTAAAACACTTTGGGGCTGTTTTTGGCCCTCAAAACAGAAGCTATCAGGTCTCCGAGGAAGAGTTTTATGTTTCCTGTGATCACATGATCCACGGGGGAGAAAACACATGTGCTGTGAGCCTCTGCAGGAACAATAGACAGCAATACATAGCACTGCCGCAGCAAAGAATTGTAATTGAATCTGCTGAAACTGATGGTAAGGCTAAAAGGTATGCCATCTGAGTATTACAGTTTTTCACAATGGCTATGACACTTTTTTCAATACATTTAACAAGTTTGCTAAACTCTTAACACATCAACAGACCTAAAACACACAATTGGCAAAACAGTTAATTTCATGCTCAAAATCACACATTGTAAACTAAACCTCTAAACTACTTTTCAAAATACAATAATAAACGAACACAATAAACCATGTCTAACATAACACTGTAAACATGTTTCAAAATGAAATAATTGTTCAAAACACAAACACATAATCTCTTCCAACAGAAACATTCAGTCAATAAGAACACACTCACAATAAAAACACTATCATCAGCTGACATTACAGAAACTACATTAGTTTATGTGTCAGCTCTGCTCTTATATTTGAAGTCTCTACAGTTTTGTTTCATTGGGTTAAGAAATGCAGGCATTTTCTTTCTTTTACTGCAAAAATTCTATACAAAAACGAAGAAAAAAATTGCTTTATAAAATTTACAGTTTATGTAAAAAAAATACAGACACAGAATTGCTGCAGTACAGACTTTATTTGCAATAGGACATTACTGCAAACAGAAAAAGCACCACAATTATAATAAAATAACAAAGTAATTTTCTATTTTGCTGGTCTTTTGCCACATGTTCTCATCCACATTACACTTGATATTTTCTATGGCCCGGCATGGTAACTGTGGCCCTTTGACCTAATATGTTTTTCCTATGGTGACATTCCCAGCCTTGTCAACATAGAAAATTTCATGTGGTACTTGATTGGCCTCCAACTTCATGACTCTCTGAAAGTAATTAGACACAGTGTATGCAAATGCTGTACTGTATATCAACTGTATATACTAATGAACTCCAGGTTTAAAGAGTAGTTTACTGCAAAACACACTGTGTATAGTACAGTAATGACTGTATTGCATAATCTTACCTGGACTTATTGGTGACAGAGTTCTTTGATGCGCTCACTGTTCCTTTAAAAAACCTCAAGATTCCTATATTACAGTTTTTTACAATGGCTATGACAGTTTTTTCAATACATTTAACAAGTTTGCTAAACTCTTAACGCAGCAACACACCTAAAACACACAACTGACAAAACAGTTAATTTTATGCTCAAAATCACACATTGTAAACTAAACCTCTAAACTACTTTTCAAAATACAATAATAAACAAACACACTACACTATGTCTAACAAAACACTACAAACATGTTTCAAAATGACATAATTGTTCAAAACACAAACACATGTTCTCTTCCAACAGACACATTCAGTCAATCAGAAAACACTGACAATAAAAACACTAGCATCAGTTAAATTTACAGAAACTGCATTAGTTTATGAGTCAGCTTTGCCCTTATATTTTAAGACTCTCTACATTTGCATTTTGTTGGGTTTAGTAAATGCATTTTCTTTTTTTTACTGCAAAAGTTCAATACAAAAATAAAGAAAAAAATTGCTTTATAAAATTTACAGTTGATGTAAAAAAATACAGACACAGAATTGCTGCAATAGACTTTATTTGCAAAAGGAAATCACTGCAAGATATACAAACAAAAAAAGCATCACAATTATAATAAAAAACTAAATAATTTTATATACTGCCTGGTCTTCTGCATTTGCCCGACTTCTTCTCTGGCCCGGCATGGTAACGATGGCCCTTTGGCCTATTGTTTCTCCTATACGGCGACGCCTTTTCGCCAAGTTGAAGCCAGTCTTGTCAACATAGATAATTTCATGTGGGACTTGATTGACCTCCAATTTCATGACTCTCTAAAAGTAATTAGACACAGTGTAAATGGTTAACTGTACTATAGCTAATGTATGTACTAATGAACGCCAGGTTTATAGAGTCGTTTACAGCAAAACACACTGTGCATAGTAAAGTAATGAATGTATTGCATAACCTTACCTGGACATATTGGTGACGGAGTTCTGCAATGTGCTCACTGTTCCTTTCAAAAACCTCAAGAGTCTTTTTTAGAACATACAGTATGATCATGTGATTTGAAAAATCTCAAGACAGGAGTGTGCTTTCTAGATGGGAATCATGTTCATATGGGAGATGGGAGCTGTCATAAATATATATATATACATACATGTATGTATGGTGTGTGTGTGTCTATATATATATACAGGGAATATATTTGTGTTTCAATTGACAATATGAACAGCTGTTTACTTTAGCTTTAGCCTTTATAGGTTCTGTTTAGAACATGATGTTATCTGATCTGACATACTGTGTGAAATCATTGGTAAATCGGACTGTGAAATTACATAGTTCAAGAAGTTCAAGCATTTTAAATTTGTGTTAAATTTTGTGTTAATTTTTGATGCATTTTGTGTCAAAGCAACAAGAAATGTGTTAATTGTATAGCCCACGAAGACGGATGTTGTGCTAACCGTGTTAAGAGTTTAGGAAACTTGTTAAATGTATTGAAAAAAGTGTCATAGCAATTGTAAAAAACTGTAAAACACACACACACACACACACACACACACACACACACACACACACACACACACACACACACACACACACACACATATATACACACACACACACACACACACACACACACACACACACACACACACACACACACACACATACACAAACACACACACATATAGATAGATAGATAGATAGATAGATAGATAGATAGATAGATAGATAGATAGATAGATAGATAGATAGATAGATAGATAGATAGATAGATAGATAGATAGATAGATAGATAGATAGATAGATAGATAGATAGATAGATAGAAATTATTTATATGAGAAACAGCATATTGTTTTATACATAACTGCAATATGCTGTTTCTCATTGGTAATTGAATAAAATACAGGGAATATATTTGTGTTTCAATTCACAATTAGAACAGCTGTTCACTTTGACTTTATCCTATATAAGTTCTGTTTAGAACATGGTGTTATCTGTTCTGACATACTGTGTTAAAGCCTTTGTAAATTTGACTGTAAAATGAAATTGTTTTGCTCTTAGTTGTGCTTGTGTGTAAAATGTGTGAAGTTTAAGCATTTTAAATTTGTGTTAACTGGATGCATTTTGTGTCAAAACAACATGAAATGTGTTAATTGTTTAGCCCACGAAGACGGATGTTGTGCTAACTGTGTTAAGAGTTTAGGAAACTTGTTAAACGTATTGAAAAAAGTGTCATAGCCATTGTAAAAAACTGTAAGCTGTTTACTGTCAACCCCACTTTTTTGTAAAATATATATATATATTTTTTTTTATTGAGCGATGCCGATCAAATAGAACACCAATGTTATTACAAAAGTAACTTTTGTCCCACTTGTCCTTTTCCTCCTACTTAACATAGCTTAACATAGTTCTAGTAAAGTCTAGATTTCAGAGTTCAGTTTAATTAAGTTAATTGTGGTTTAAGTTTCACTGCTGAAAGTTCTAACACTGAAGAGCAAATCCACCGAAGCGCAGCTCCACAAGTTCCGATCCTAGCAAGCCGGTGGTGACGATGGCAAGGAAAAAAAAACTTCAATAATTGACAAAGTAAAGAGAAAAAAAAACTCAAGAGGAACTAGGCCCTGTTGGGCATGACCATTAATCTTCTGGCCAAACTTTCTGCGTGGAGCTGCAGTCTAGGTGCCATAGACTGGTGAAGCTGGACGTCCATCGTGAAGAAGCTGCAGGTGTGAGTAGGTCACCGGTGGGGAGTCAGGCTGGCCCAAACGATCAATGTGGGGACTTGTCTGTCACGATGGTCTTTCAGGAATCAGTCTCATACACTCTATGACGACCACAGCATCAGATCGAGATACTGCCTGGTCCAGGATTATGAACATCTTGGTATCTGTGACATCTGGTGCTGACGGGCACCCAATACTCATGAATCCGTCTAAAGCAGATGTTCCTCGGCTAGTCATTCTGACATTTATGCTGACTTTGGGTGTTTGCTTTCATGAATCAATTACTTTCGTTTCAATTTGTATTTTGGTTAAGCACAAAGTTATGTTAATTAAATATATTTAATATATCCATGTTAACCATGTTAAGAGGCAGTGCACCCAAAAATTAAAAAACAAGGGGGCCGTTTTTGGTCATATATTTTTAATGGTTAAATCATCACACTATATAGCACTCAACAGTCTGAAGAAAACTGGTTAGTTTGTTTACTTTAAAAATAATTTGTTAAATAAATAATAATAATACTAATGCGTGTGTGGAGTTTTTCACTATCATTTGCAATACTGAATTTAGATGCACAGTTACAGATTTTTCCCCCAGAGTTCATTGAAAAATCTCCAGTAGCATAATATATATAGTACAGTTTACTGCTTATACAGTAAGAAACTGTTGAGAAATGCAGTATAATACAATGAAAACAGAAATCGTTTCTAGTGTATCATAAGTGTCT